CGTACATGCCGTACATTTCTTTCCAAAGGAACGTTTTAAAGATAGATTGTAAAGATTTTAAAATAAGAAAAGACAAGAATAGTGAGAGTTAACCTTTATCGTTACCACAGCTGCCATTCGCCGCACTATTATTATTACGCCTCCGACGCGTCGAAAATTTTAAAGAATATCATTGAGAAATGGCAAAAGTTTTAAGGAAACAAAGTTTCTCCCTGTAACATGGAGTTCAATAATAACAACGGAGTTGGGCGAACAGGTGACAGCAATACGAAAGGTTATTTCGAAATATTAAACTTTTACGTGTTTTATTACGTTTATCACAGCGAGAAGTTTTATATTTACATTGTGCAGGTACACTAGTGCGCTTTTATGTTTAGAAGTTTTAAAAAATTATTAAATTCGAACGTTCTCATGAAATTAACATTAAATCGAAGAAGATAGGGACAAAATATATGTGACATATAATGGAACATTAAATATATATATATTTTATATTTCTAACGAACGACATTTACGTTTATTTAACAATTTAAGCCTGGATTTCGTAATTCTTAACCCCTTGCGTTGGGCAACTGGACTGCACGGACCATAACGAGTGACCAAACCTTATACAATATCTCGTCACTAAGAAGCAATAAATTTATTATTTGTATTTAACATACTTAAAACTGAGAAAATATTGCAATATCGGAATAAAAAATTCTCGCTTCACTAGTGCGCTTTTATGTTTAGAAGTTTTAAAAAATTATTAAATTCGAACGTTCTCATGAAATTAACATTAAATCGAAAAAGATAGGGACAACAAAATATATGTGACATATAATGGAACATTAAATATATATATATATATATATATATATATATATATATATATATATTTTATATTTCTAACAAACAACATTTACGTTTATTTAACAATTTAAGCCTGGATTTCGTAATTCTTAGACCCTTGCGTTGGGCAACTGGACTGCACGGACCATAACGAGTGACCAAACCTTATGCAATATCTCGTCACTAAGAAGCAATAAATTTATTATTTATATTTAATATACTTAAAACTGAGAAAACATTGCAATATCGGAATAAAAAATTCTCGATGTGCAAGAGGTAATAACACGCGACGTGCAGTATTTTCTGTCAGGAGAGTGGAGTGTTGCTTGTTTAGAGACCTGTGAAAGGGAATAAACTAGCGCAGAGCGAACGAAACGTAAATGTTAATACGGGAAATATTTATAAAGCTTCCCAACTTCTTCCTAGATCGCCGTTTCGTATTTGAAACGGCTGTTGATTGCTTGGGGAATTAATATTTCAAACGAATTTGTCGCCCGACACAGCAGGGACGGAGAATTACGATGAGTTACAAGTTGTTTGCATTATCTCCGTTCCATCTTTCACACTTGTCAAATTTATTATTGTTCTGCGAACTCCAACAAATTCTCCTTCGCACGTGAGATTTCTCCTATTGGATTGGATTGATTCGTTCGACGCATTGATTAAATTGCAACGTTGATGTTTCACGTTGATTAAAAGTGCACCGCGAAAGCACCGGTGTCCCTCTTTCTCACGTTGCCTCTTTTTTTCACTTTGTGAAAAATTAACCGCGAAAATTGCTCTGTCCGGCGCTTCTTCAAACGTGAAAGCAAATGTAACGACATTACGGTAGAAAGGGACGTCGTCGAAATCAATATTAAAAACGCTTTTTAACTTAATTCCTTTCAACCTGATTTCCCCGGGGAATAATGATCGATACATCGGTATTCTATTCACGCAATATCTTTATCGGCGTTTCGCGAAGAGGATAATTCCCTTTTCGTTTATTGTTTATTGAAGATTCCTCGAGATATATAATTTGTAACTTGTATGCTAATTACGATCTTAAGAGAACGTATTTAATCGAGAAGGTTTTCCTACTAAAGTTATATTTTTGACGATATTAAGTGCAATAGAAAATATTTATATTTATTCGTGCATCGAGAAATATTAATTCAGGTCGTAAATTTCAAAAATTTGAAAATAAAAAAATACTTTAAATGTCCTATCAGTCTTACTAACACGCATACACATATATCAACGTGTTGTTACACATGATTTTTTTTTCAAGAAGAAAAAGTTGCAAAGTTTCGTTAAGTTTCGAGAGGAAAAATACATATATATTCGGATTAATTCTCAGTTTGTTTATTGCTTATTGAAGATTCTTTGAGATATAATTTCTAACTTGTGTGCTAATTACGATCTTAAGAGAATGTATTTAATCGAGAAGATTTTCCTACTAAAGTTATATTTTTGACGATATTAAGTGCAATAGAAAATATTAATATTTATTCGTGCATCGAGAAATATTAATTCAGGTCGTAAATTTCAAAAATTTGAAAATAAAAAAATACTTTAAATGTCCTATCAGTCTTACTAACACGCATACACATATATCAACGTGTTGTTACACATGATTTTTTTTTCCAGAAGAAAAAGTTGCAAAGTTTCGTTAAGTTTCGAGAGGAAAAATACATATATATTCGGATTAATTCTCAGTTTGTTTATTGCTTATTGAAGATTCTTTGAGATATAATTTCTAACTTGTGTGCTAATTACGATCTTAAGAGAACGTATTTAATCGAGAAGATTTTCCTATTAAAGTTATATTTTTGACGATATTAAGTGCAATAGAAAATATTAATATTTATTCGTGCATCGAGAAATATTAATTCAGGTCGTAAATTTCAAGAATTTGAAAATAAAAAAATAGTTTAAATGTCCTATCAGTCTTATGAACACACATACACATGTATCAACGTATTATTACACACGATTTTTTTTTCAAGAAGAAAAAGTTGCAAAGTTTCGTTAAGTTTCGAGAGGAAAAATACATATATATTCGGATTAATTCTCGTTTTGTTTATTGCTTATTGAAGATTCTTTGAGATATAATTTCTAACTTGTGTGCTAATTACGATCTTAAGAGAACGTATTTAATCGAGAAGATTTTCCTACTAAAGTTATATTTTTGACGATATTAAGTGCAATAGAAAATAATTAATATTTATTCGTGCATCGAGAAATATTAATTCACTTCGTAAGTTTCAAAAATTTGAAAATAAAAAAATACTTTAAATGTCCTATCAGTCTTACTAACACACATACACATATATCAACGTATTATTACACACGATTGTACATCAACTTGTTACGTTACTTGTATGCAATTGACGCACCGTTTAGAAAATCTATCGATCACTTCCACTCGATTCTTCGAGAGAATTCCACACGTTTCGTTCGCAGGACACCGAGTTTACGTTTGTAGAGCTTCGACACTCTTTACTCTGCGATGCACTTTGATAACTTCCCCGCTCGATCAAAACGTCGTAAATTCAATGACACAACAGCAGAATCGTAGAAGCGTGAGAAACTTGGTCGAGAAATTTGATTGATTGCGTACGAGGCAACACGACGATTTTACTTCCATTCGAAGCTGCTCGGTGGTGAATTCTCTCACGATTTGTATTTGTCAGCCGGACTTGTTGGCCCGTAAATTGGTCAGTTTCCGGCGCGCGTATCGAACTGAACGGAAGTCGAGCACACGTCAACCGAAAGAGAGAGAGAGAGAGAGAGAGAATGGCACATCAGAATCGAACTAATTAGAAATTCTAACTAAAACGACGCCGATAAATCCCACCGACACCTTTGACCGACACTTTTTAATTACGCGAAATATGTGCGCGAGACGAAGAATATGAATATTCACATTGTAACAACACGAAAGCAGCGAACGTGCATTAATTTGAATTGTTCAGCGACAATCTCTCGCGCGAGAAGCTACGATACGTATGCTTGTGCACACGCAGCGACGAGGAACGGACGAAAAAAGGAAATGAGGTGTAACGGAATAATTAAAAGTTCCTCACAATGGAGCCTCTGACCTACAACTTTCTGCTTTCGCGAGTTTTAAAGAGAGAGAGAGAGAAAGGGAGAGAATGGTGTTGTGAAAGAATTCATATTTCACCTTTGCCTCGCGCTGAAACTGGAAGGACTGCTGTGTGTTTGTAGCAGCTTTGAATTAAGAAGACGTTCATCTCATCTCCTTTTTTCCATGTCGCCGAGCACCACGCTGTTCAGGAGACGAGAGAGAGAGAGAGAGAGAGAGAGAGAAAGAGTGGAAAAGGAGATTTTTCACAGGTTTCGACGACAACGTTCCACAAACTGTTTTGGTAAAATCATTTAACAGAAAAGAACAAAAAGAGAAAGGAAAAAAAAAAAAACGTAACGAATTTAACGCGACGAGTCCGTCTATCGCAGTGCATCCTGTGAACCCTGTGAGCGAACCCTGTTTACAACCTTTTAGAGTAACGAACGATAGAACCAACGAAACCGTACGTACCGTGAAACGTCCACCGGTTAGACGAGCTAGAAGCACGCTAAATTCCCTCGGATCGACGCAAATTCGTGTACACGCGCTTTGGAAATACGTTGGATCGGGATTGTGGATCCTGTGCTCGAGCCGGATCGTCGGAGCGTGTCGTTGCCTCCGTTGCTAACGATTATCACCGGCATCGAAAGAATCCCTCGCTTTTGTGTACAAAGAGCCTAGCCCCCCTAGGCGTGCGTGTGATCCGATGCATGTGATCGAACGCTATAGAAAGAGCAATAGAACACGTAGAGAAACTCTAGAGATTAGCGAGCGACTATCTTCGCGAGATCGCGTGTTTCTTTCTTTTTTTTTTTTTCTTTTCTTTCCTTTGTACGCGATGTTGCTCGTCTCGGCAAGTGTCGTCTTTCCGAAATCCGAAATTAGAGATTCACGCATTTTTCGCGGGCAAAAAAAATTCGGGCGTGAAAGGGAAGAAAGAGAGAGAGAGAGAGAGAGAGAGAAAGAAAGAATGTACAAACACTCGTAGTCGAAGAAATAGAGAGAAAGAGAATGAGAGAGAGGGAGAGAGAGAGAGAGAGAGAGAAAGAGAGTTGATAGAGGATTGACTGAGCAAAGGGTTGTGTTTCCGGTGTTGCAGGATGCACGCGGTTGGATTGCACTCGGCGCTGGCCATCAAGCGTCAGAGAAAACGCCGGGACGAGCAGCGTCGTGCCCGCGAGCGTCGTTATAGCGTGCAATCGGGCGAGAGCGGCCTGACGTCGCCGAGGGCTTCGACCGGTTCCTTGGACCATCAACCGAGGCATCATAAAGCCGGGCATTCGAGCCGCTCGGCCGGCCAGGGTATGTTGGACTCGAAGGTGGTCACGTCGGTGGGGATGCTTCACATCGGCGTGGTCTTCCTAGTGTTCGGCGCGTTCCTTCTGATGAGCGGCCTTCTGCCCGGGGATCTCGCCCAGTGGGGCACCAAAGCGTCCGGCGGATGGTGGAACGAGCTGGTCGCCATAGGTTTGTTCGCCATCATTGTCGGCATGTTCCTCATCATATTGAACAAGGTGATCGCGAAGAAGGAGGAGAACGATCTCGAGGAGTACGTGCAGAGGCAGCTGACCAGATCCAGGTCCGGGCACAGGCTGGAGAGAGACGCGGAGACCGGCGGACTGACGACGAAACACGCTCGGAGGGCGAGGCAGATGCAGCAGGTGGCTTCCAGCGCGTCCATAGAGACGCAGAACGAGAAAGTGTCCGGCTCGCCGCCTAGAAGCCCGCCGCCTGCTTACTCGCCGCCGCCGACCATGAACGGCGATCACCAAGCCGTTCAATCCGCCCTCTATCTCGAACAGATCACCGAAGAGGAGATTATCAGCGACCGCGTGGAAACGTCCACTACCAACAGCCTGAGCCCCGGCTCCCCGAGCGAGACCAGGGAACTCCTGCAGAATCCTCGCTACTCGAAGCAGAACGGGAACCCTCAGCAGGTTCATCGGCCGCTTTACGTGTCTAGGATCTAGATAACCGAGGGTTGTTCGAAGCCCGTTCTCGCTTGATCGTTTGGAACGATCGCTTTATCGGGGATCTCGCGGTGTATTTAGTATATCGGGAACAAACTCGCGAGAGTCTGAAAGGAGGGAGAGTCACGGTGGCGACAATGATGAAAGGCGATGGCATGCGTGTTTCTTTTTCTTTCGATTATTTGATCACGCGGAAGCTTCGAGCGTGTTTCGATCGAGTGAGCAACACCTTGAGAGACAACGTAGGTTAATATTAATGACGGAGGGAAGTGATCCAGGAAAGAAAGATGGAATCGTTTGGTCGAGAGGTTTGATTGGATTTAACGAAACGTACGAGCCAATCCGTTTACTTCGAGATGTCATTTCATCGATCTCTCGTAGCAGTTGTTCTTAATCTTAAACGTCTCATTGTCTCTTACATCTGATTCAACTTCCTCTTGTAAATTACCAAATAACGAGGGATATTCTTCCAAAAGGAGAAGAAAAAAGAAACAGAAAAAAGAAGAAAGCTGATCGTTAAACGTTCGTAGAAACTTGATCAGTGGGACCAAGGTTTCGCGCTCGATCCACCTGAAACGAAACGAAACGAAACGAAACGAAACGAAACGCAACGCTGTCACGTAACAAGGGACAGCCAAAACACGAATTCATCAACAAAATTTCTTGATTGATCGTCGAACAATTCCTGATAAACGAACTCTTGCACACGTTGAACCGAGAAGGTGAAGGAGGAGGAGGTGGAGGAGGAGGAGGAGAAAGGGCAATCGAGCGTAAAACAAGCAACTAATCGAAAACGTTTGAATCGAGGTGCAAGCCAACGAAACTGTGCAATCTACATAGTCGAAAATGCAATTTCCCTTACGCTAATTTCGATCCGATCCGAGCCGAGCTGCGCCCCTATCTCCTTGAAAGTTTCGTATTCTCGAGGAATCGAGTTTCACACGGCGCATTCACCGAGCGATCCGCCCGGGCGTCGAACGCAATTCTACTCCGAGCAATTTCCTGTCGGGAAGTCCAATGGGAACCGATATCGGGCCGTGTACAAGGGGCAAACCCCTGTCTCTTTGTGTACGATCCGATCGTTACAGGGAAAGGGAGATTTAACAAGATACAAAGAAAAGGAGAGAGAGAGAGAGAGAGAGAGAGAGAAAGAAAGAAGGGGAGGAAGAAACCCTTTCGAGGTAGTGAACGCTCGGTAGGAAATCAATTTCCTCGACGAATTACAACGGTGGTGAGATCGTTATTCGTGACATTGTCGCTGCCTGGGGAACCTGATCGAGATCTCGATAGTTTCAGTTCGGACTGTGAGCCGAGAGTGAGCAAAGTCTCTCGCGACGGACGCGTGTATAATTTTTCAAATATATTTCAAGTATTGTAAGCGTGTACGATTTTTAAGTTGGTAGTTTAACCTTGCTGCGTTCTTCCTGTCATTTGTATTTTTCTAAAATTTGAAACGTCGATTCCGAGGTCGGGGCGAGAGAAATTGTTATGCGGTGTATGTGCGTGATTGAATATTTTTTTATTTGGAGAATGTACAAGAAGAGGAAGCAGTGTATAAATTCGAGAATCGCAGCAGGGTTAAGAGCGTAATTTTTGCGTGATACGATTCGTTAGAGTTAATTGCGTGATCAATGTGTTAACTTCTTGAGGGATACTGACACACACACGTATTTTTCTAATTAGCTCTGTTTTTTATTTTATTTAAATCTCGTCTGAAAAATCGAATGAATATAATATGTTGCGAATAGACATTCCTTAGCATGTAAAATCCTTTCGCGAGTCTAACGGACGCACGAAAAAGAATAAAAAAAATCAGATTTATCATGAAAATTAAACTTTAATATTTTAGTACACCACTAAAAAAAAAAAAAAAAAAAAAAAGAAAATATGCCTTAAAACACACGATCTTAAAATCATTTAAAAATTGCCATTTTCTATTTCTCTTATCCTTGCTTTTCACACATGCATGTACATCATTGACGATTAAAAAATTGTACATCTAATACGATTAAAAGAGAGAAGAACAGAAAATAATGATCTTTTAATGACGATAAATTAGTCCCTGAAGAGGTTAAAATTTCGTCGAACGAATTTCAAATTTGTTCGGTGATTTACGGGCAAAGATCGAACGGTGAAACGAAAGAAAAAAAAAAGGGGGGGAGGGGACGATCCGAAAGTTTCGCGGCAGGACCCACGGTGAACGATGAAACTTTTCGTCCATCAGAGGCTTCGAAGTGGCGATCACTTTTTCTTTTTTTTTTTTCTTCTCTCTCTCATTTCGAAGGAAAGTTCGGAGAAGTCGTTGAAAGTTCTCGACCGAACCGATTTGATCCTCGTTAAGCGCACGAGGAAGTGAGTGAGCCCGGTTGGAATCGATCGTGCTGCGAAATTTTCCGAGTTCCTGCGCCGTATTGCCGAGGACGCGGGAAATGATTTCGAGGAACGTTCTTGGCAAAGCTTCGGACCGTGCCGTTATCGAGAAACGTGGCAGGATTTATGCCCTGCGTGCGACGAAGATCCTCGTGGTATATGTACGTGCACGGCGCAGAAAATATGCGAGGAGTATTGAGGATAAATACCATAGGAGCGCCATATTGAGTCGCCATTGAGGGAGGGCCGAACATTACGTCTCGTAGCTGTAAACTTTCAATTTTCTAAGTTCGATCGTGTGATCATTATTATACGATCATTATTAGTATTCAATTTTTGAATTTCTTTTAAATTTCAGTGCCAAAGCAGTTGATTGAAAAGCTTGAGTTTTTACGCTTGAAATTGATTGTCCTTAACACGTCATTAACGCCTTGCGCTGGCAACTTGGTTGCGCGGACCATAACGAGTGACCGAATCGTGTACAGTAACTCGTCGCTTTCTTTTTCTTTCGAACTCGTCGGTACGATATCACTGGATAAAAATTATATTACTGGATTAAACTTATCATTCATTTTGCCTGTTTTTTTTCATTTATACATACTTAAAACTGAGGAAATGTCGCGAAAAATTTTCGACGTGCGTGACAATTCCAGCGCAAGAGGTTAAATTACGAAAATTTTGTCGACCAAATGTGATACGATGTGTAATGCTAATTTTACACTTGAAAAGAAGAGAAACAAATTCATTTGATAACTGCAAATTCATATTTTCCTGAGCGTTACAAACGAAGCAGAATACTTTGGACACTTTATACACATTCTACATACTTTTAAATAACTCTTGTAAGTTTGTCCTTTCAGTTTTGACGTCTCCGTATCTGTATAGAAATTGAAAATGTCAAGTTATCAGATTTTACAGTTACGAGACACAACATGCAGGGGGGCTACTATTTACAAGCGAGAAAATATAAAACCATGCACTTAAGGACCAAGATACAATTAATTCGAATGGTTGAGATAGACAATTTTATGGAGAGTCACGAAGAAAAACGAAGAAAGAATGAATTAATGATGACATAAACATGAAAGGGGAGATGGTGTGTTACCGCACGATGGCTGATATTTCTTCGCTCGCGGAATATCAGCAATTGAATTCATCGATTAATCATGTATATCTCTATTAAAAAAGAAAAAAAAAGAGAATTCGATTTACGATAGACGTTTAAGAAACTATACAGAGGTTTTCGACGCCAACATACTCATATATATATATATATATTGTACTTTAATATTTAAATCGTAAGTGGAGACGGGACCTCGAGATCGGGACTCTACGCGTCTTTAGAGAACACGATTTATCGAAAGCGAATGTCCTTTAACGTTTAAGCATAGTCGGTCCCGATATCGATGGTCTGATATCAGTCGTTGCATGTGCGAAATCGTTTAATCAGACTTAACGATCTGTGCAGTCTGGCGAAAAATCATTTCGATTTCCGATCGAGCAAAAACTATTCTTCTATCGTTCGTTTCATCGCAACAAGCGTAACTTGTTTCGCGTCAAAAAATAAAAGTCATTTCGAACATTCGGGTTCTTCGATTTACCAATACTAGAAAATATTAGAAAATTGGCTTCCCTCCTGTGACAATTTGTAATTTTTCGAAATTTTTACATTTCTGAATTTCGTTTGTTAATTATCCCGCGAGAAAGTTCGCCAATTTGTAATTTATACATGATTTTTAGTTAGTCGATCTACCGCGAACTGTGAAACGAAGGCTCAGGCTTTCCTCCAAGTGCAGTTCTGCGAAATTCTTCTGAGAATTGTTCCCTTTCCGTATATCGCATAATATTTTCATAACTTTTCGTGTAATCTTATTCCTTGCCTCCGACACTTCTTCTCCATTCTCATTCTTTGTAGGATACCTCTCGTACATAAAATTACTTTCGTAATAGTCTCTAGTTTCGCAAACGAAATGAAATATCGTAGACTTTCTATTCTTTTCCTTTTTTTTTTTTTTCTTTTACTTCGAAAGATTTATCAAGTCCATAACACGATATCCAGTGTACTCCATTCACGTTTCTCTATGCACAAATGAATGGTACAATTGTCGAACGTGCCCTTCGTTTCTTTTCTGCCAGATCTGTCTCGTGTAATCACTTATTAGTTAGCCGATCGACTCGATCGATCGTAAGTACGTAGCGATAGTCAACGGAAGATAACGAAACGAAATCCCTTGAACGGTGCATTACGTTCCAATTTTACATTCGATTACGATTAACCATTTCCATTCGAGGTGTATCTACGATTAGACACTCGTATCTTCCAACTCTTCGAGTTGAAATTCTCGCGATTTTTTCGTGAATGAACGATCGAATTTGTAGACAGTTTTAAGTAGAGTATGTCTCTATAGAGTCGGGAATGTGGATATTTCATTGTAGAAAGAGCGTCGCGGATCCGAGGCAATTTTCGATTGTGCAAAGTGCGAAATAGAAAGGATTTGAAACGATTGAAAGTAAGGGTTTATCAAACGATTTTTTTCCTATCGAATATTCCAAAATTTTCTCGAGCAGAAGCTCGAGGCGCTTGGCGTTCCTTCGCACGCAATTACGAAAATGATAAAACTGTTGGAGGAAGGAAATTGAACAATCTTTACATTCCGGCACGTTATTGGAACGTCCCCAAAGATATCGATCGTTTAGGGTTGTTTAATCCCTGAATGGAGAATAATATTCGCCTCTTCTCTACATTTCGTGAGGATTTAATAATAAGAGAGAAAGAGATATTGCGGTGCGGATAAAGAGTAGGGTAGGTTGAAATTCCGGGTCGATCATTATACATTGCATGTCTGTTGTTATTAGTCTAAAACACAACGAAATATTAACCTGAATCTAACCGAGAGAACCTAAACGAGTAATTTTTCCAATTTTAGTAAAATATTTTGCAGTTGCCAATTTATATGTTGTTGTAAAATCGAGTGGCAGTAAAAATAAACATTGTCGACCAAACGGCCATAGAACATGCATGCGGATAAATTGCAAATTAAATTATTGCGAGAAATGTTTGGCATGCTTCGAAATGCAAATAAATGATCGATTGTCAGCATTGAAACTTGATAGTATAGGCTCAAAGCAAAAAACAAATTGCCGTGGTTGAGATCTCTGTAATTGAATTAGTATTTTGTATTATATATATATATATATATATATATATATATACTACGAGACAATTATTGGACAGTTATTAGCAAATTTTTATTTCTTTCATTTATCAATCAATTAAAGAAACAAATAAAATTTACGCCGTAAATATTATAGAAAGATTGGATATTTCACACACTTTTCCCTGTTAGGCACGTTCTCTGCAATTTTGCTATTTCCTTCAAAATTTCGTCACAAGCGTATAAAAAATTTTCAGTTTTGCCATTAATCCCCGATAAAACACAGACGAGGAAATTTGCACTCGACAAGTGGAAAAAATGTCAGAAAGGAAGAAAACGATCGATGACTGACCCATTATTAGTGGAAACTCACCGCTCTATAGCAAGCTCTCTCGACCTCGAATTGGTTAATATCCTATGGCAAGGAGAAATTGGGACATGTGGCGATAAGAAAGTATTGTCTGTGATGTGTTTGCAACCAAATTGCGATCGTGAAACTGTCTGGGGCGTGGTGCCTGTGGACGAAGGGGACAATCCTGAACGATCGAGACGTTTGAAAGTTTGACGATCGAAGAAAAAAAAAAAAAAAAGGAAAAAAAGAAAAAGAAAAAGAAGAAAAGATTGGAAATCATAGAACGCTTACAAAAACAAAACGTGTACAGCTTGTACAGTAATTTGAAACGCAACACAAGTGCTTGAGCGCTAATATATTCGTTGATTTATTGAACATCTCCAATGCAGCATGCTTTATTTTGCAGCTGAGACTGTCGACGGACGAGCCTCCGATAATTTCAACTGCAAGAACCCAAGCCGTGAAAGCGAACCCAAGCACTTTAGTTGCGTTCTCTGCTTGGGTGGTCCAGCGTGTTTAAGTCTTCTGATACCGACAACCACAACTTAAGTTATCCTACTTAAGATTCGGTTCCTCTCCGATCCCTCAAGCAAAGGACAAAACTACACTGACTCTGAGTCACTAGACAGCTTAAAAATACCGGAATTCACCTTTCTTCCCGAGTCTCTCTTTTCTCACCCAGTCGGCGGGCGCTGGCGGCGGAATAGCGTGCGTCCGATGAGTAGCTTCAGGTCCTGGACTAGTGCTGGTCCTCTCTATTTCGGAATCCTAAAATCAATGAACTTTGCTATAAAGCCATGGAACGATAAGCCACCCGATCTAACCGTTTTAGTTTCAATTTATATGTAAACGATTATCAGAAAGCAATTCTACTGGTAGATAATTATAGTAGTGGTAACACACCGCGTTTGGTAACGGTAATTACTTTTCAACCGAGTTTTCACAACCATTTCCGCGTAATTGCGTTTCTTTGAGAGCCACAGAGAGGCCGCAGAGTGACTCTCACCTCGTAATTATAGCCGTGCCCCTGTCGCGGGTATCGGCTCGTGTAGAGAGGATTGTTGAAGACGTCGTTGTCGTTAGAATGGGATGGGTTGTGGGGCGTGACGATGGTGTGCGGCACGTGCGCGACCTGCCCTCTGGAATTCCTCGCCTTCCACCATTTCCTGCTATCGTCGAGAATCTCCAGGTATTCGCCTCTGACAACCGTCAGCTCCTTGTCGTTGTTCGCCGTCCTCGGGTAAGTGACTTGCACGATCTTCGCGTGTCTGGCTACCAGATCGTCTAGCCAAGCTTCCTGCGCCCTCTCCATGCCGGTGGTCCTCGGTGTTCTTTCGATCGAGTCCACCGATATGTCGCTGTGCGCTCTCGTTTGATCGACCACTCTTTCTTCCCTGGCGTACAGCTCCGAGCCGGTCCCGTAATTTCTATCGAAGTACTCGTTACCGGCACGCTCCTCCCTGCTCTCGTACTCCAAATAATCGCTGCTGTAATGCGACTCGTCCACCTCTCGATGATTATAGTACGGATCGTTCTGTTGTTCAGGGAGTTCGTCCCTCTTCTGTTTGTCAGCGTTCAACAAGGAGGCCAAATGATCGTGGTCCCTGTCCTCCGGTATTGGATACTCCGGCGACCAACCGTCCATGAAGATGGGATGGTACGGAGGGACGTGGCCCTTCCATTGGTCGCGCGGTATCAGCCACGTGTCGCCAAGTGAATGCCAAAGCTCCGTCTCTTTGCTGGTGACGCAATTAATTAACAAATTCACCGCCTCTCTGGTCAATAACGGCGACACCACTTTGCTCGGCAGGTTTGGATCGTAGTTAGTGTCGTGGGACGCGTCCACGATCAAGGCCAACGGCGTGAACAAAAAGTGGACCAATTCGGGGGCGTTGGGGTCGTGAATGTGAGCCTTCAGCTTAGCCAGCAGATTGAACGACAATTTGAACTTTTGGAATATGTCGATGAACTCCATCTCCGGAGGTGGTTTCGCCCTCATTGTCAGCATCCCGTCACCCAGATTCCTCTTCTTCGACTTCCGATTGCGCCGCCGGCGTTCCAGCTCCTTCGAGGCGGCCGCCGCGTGTTGCAGACGCGCGATAAATTTCTCGATGTCGTCGAAACAATGGTTCAGGATGGTCACGTCGCGTTCGTATTTCTCGGAGGACGTCGAGGAGACTTCGTCGTTGTTCTCCTCGCGAGATATATCGTTTTGGCCGTCGGCTGTAACGCGGAGAACGAACGTGTTAAACTACTGCCATTCATGAAATATTCAAGAAAGAAAGAAAGAAAGAAAGAAAGAAAGAAAGAAAGAAAGAAAGAAAGAAAAACAAAGACAACGAAGGGAAGAAAGAAGAGGGAAGTGATGGGAAGAACGTGCGTACCATTGTTAGCGTTAAAGGCGGACACCTGTTCCCGGACGTTAACCCCGTTCAAGGGTGGTTCCGGCGGTGGTAAAGTAGGAGGCGGTGGGATACGACCTCTTGGACCTCTTGGCGAACCGCCGGGCACCAGTTTGCCCATTTGCAGCATCTTTAGATCCTCGACGAGATCCTGGGCCGAGACACTTTGACACTGGAATATATGCATTTCTGCCCGTTGACCGGAGCCGCTGTCATCCGCCACTGTGAAGACGAGAATGTTGTTATACATCTCCATAGGGTCCCTCGACGTGAACGCGGTCGGTTCCTGTATCAACGAGGCTGGGAATCGCTCCATGACGGCCTGCATACGAATTTATCAACGATGCATTAAGTGAAATTGCCTCGGGACTAGTTACGTTAAAGTAATTTCACAAATGTTCCACTTCGTTCGTCTACGGTAACTACGCAAGCTAGCTACTCTATATGGTTCTTCTTCTTTCTTTTTCTTTTCTTTTTTTTTTTTTTTTCTTTTTTTCTTTTACTGAAAAAAAAATCAGTGACAAATTTTTACCCCCGTCTCGTTGTCCATGATCAGCACCCAATTCCGTTCAAGACGGAGCTGCATCTTTTGGCTCCAAATGCCGTTACTCTTCTCCAACTGCAAAAGTCGCCGCATACCGTCCGCTGGATAAACAATACCGGTTTCCTTCGTGACCGTGAATGTGGCCAAATGCTCCATCATGTACGTCGGCTCGGAACTGCTCACGCGGCCGCCCGATGTGCTCGATGGACCACTCGATCCTCCGTCTGATTTTATTGTTGTTAATCCGTTAAAATAACCATCTCGTTCAATTACCACTCGAACGTTTTCTTATGTATGCCAATTTTATGATAAACGTAAAATGTTGAAAAGTAAAGAATCATGCACAGAGAGACACGTGTAACTTAAAAAAAGAAAAAAAAAAAATAGTACAACAAGCACAGGTGCAATTTTACAATCTTGTCGAGTTTGAACGATGAAAAAGTGACGCAGTTACCTTTGTTATAGGTGGAAGGACTGTGCCCACTGTTGTAATACGGCATTGTTGGCCAGATAATCGCTCACCCTTTATCTGCAACAAACGATAAATGTCCCAAAGAAAAGATCGGTACCTCGATATTCCATAAATATATACGATGTAAATAAATTTTGCATTCGAAACATCTACGATCGATTTTCTTACGTTGTTATTGGCTATTCGCTAATTATGACGACGTCACAAACTGTTTGCCAAGTGTACGGGTTTAACAACTTAATGACAGACTCTGGCGATACTCGCACGTCGCCGTATCGCATCCGGCTACCGGGTCATGAGGACCATACTTGGCGGCACGAAAGCCTGCTCGCAAACCAAAGTGAAATTCCAACGAGTCTAATTCGCTCACCAGACATGTCGAGAATTCCTTTCGCGTGCCTTCCACTTATCGAACCTTAGCGTCCGAAGAGAGGTGAGATCCCGCGGACACAATGGGCCAATAAATATTATTCATTGACAAAAGGCTTGCTTTTGCAGAAACGCAGCGTCAAACGCGAGTCGTGTGGCGCCAGGATGCACAGACGAACGAAAAATATTCGCCGTGTACCCGTGGAAGAATTCCAGAAATCGAAGAAAAGATCGCTACCAAGACTTGGGAAAACACATCCTCTCGCCGATTTCTTTCGATTTCTTCGTTTATTTTCATTGATTTTCGATTTACTTGCACAAACTTATTTCTCTTCCTCGCAAGAATATTGCAAACGTGTACTGCTTAATGTTTCTTATTCGTTAAAAGGTTATCCTGAATCGCGTGCAATTTCTATTACGTTATTTTTTACTATTTTCATTCTGCGGAACGTGTCGTGGCCCGGTATGAATGGGTTTCGTAGTCATTCTAGTTTCTATTTGCGTTTCTCGACGTTCCTAACGTTCCATTACAGTTGTACTACGTCAATTTTCGATGGAACATCGAGGGAAATTTATATCCAATCTTTTTTCCATTAATGTTGGTTAAATCTTTCAAACAGACGGAATTTTTTCACCGAATTTTTCATTTGTCTATACCTGAATATATCGTGATATTATGTAGAATTTGATATTATGAATAATGTAGATAATGATATAACATAATAATATAGATATTATAATAAATTCTATTTATAATATATATATATATATATTTATTATAATATAATAATAATAATAGATATAATAAATTCTATTTATAATATATATAAATTTATTATAATAAATTCTATATATAATATAAATAATAAATTCATAATATAGATATTATGAATAATGTAGATAATGAGTGGATGAAATTGGACGATTTACTTCTCATCCCAGTAATATTGAAAAGTACTTGTTACTCTTTCACTCTTTCAGACTACATTACAACATAATAATTATAACATTTTTCTTTCCCATAATTATAATATTCACCGAATCTCTTTCAACTACTTTTCATTTCCATTTTACGAACAGTGGATAAAATATCACATTATTCGACTGGTTACGACTCGCTGTATCTCTCTGCCGCATAAATGCACGAAACAACGTTCCCCGAGTCAGGACAAAGAGAGAAACTACGAAAAACGACTGGACTTTTTTTTTTGCATATGTTACGCACGAGGAATGTGAAATTCTGAAATTTACTCCATGAGAGAAACCTATTTGTTTCGACGGCTCGTTAAACGAGTGTGAACGTCCATACGGGCACTAGCAGGCCAGGTGCTGGATAAAAGCTGTTGTCGATGCGGGCTTGCCGGGGAATTTCGTTCGTAAAGGTCGTAAATTTTCCAGCGAGACGCGTTTGCTCTTCAATAATTCGAAGGAATTCGCGTAACAACGTCGGATAATGTGATATTTTATTGCTGAATAGAGTCCTTTAAAATGGAAATGAAAAGTAATTAAAGAGATTCGTAGAGGATACGGTGAAAAATCGGTGAAAAAAATGTGGACGGTGTATGAATCGAGGACCTAAAGGTGCGTAATCCTTAGGATTGCGTACAATTCTTCACGTGTCTTCACCCGTCCTTGTTTTGGATCGCATGATCGTAAGAACGTTTAAATCCCTCGTGGATCGTCTCTTGTGCAATCGTGATATTTCTTTCTCTCTCGATACGATACCTCTACAATTTCAAGATCAGATGTCGAAATGAAATGTCAATTAATCATCGAACAGCGTTTATTTAATTGAAAAAGGTGTCTCGTAGAACGGGACTCGAAAATAAGTACTTACGCTACAACACCTTTTTTTAGTCCAACTGAAAAGATGTTTGCGTTCTTTTCGACAGGTTTCCAGTATCGGCCGGGCAACTGATCTCGCGGACCATAACGAGTGACCGAACAACAACCGTATACAATAATTCGTCGCTATCTTTTTCTTTCTTGAACTCGCCGGTATGACATCACTGGATAGAAATTATTGATTAGTAATATTTATTATTTGTTTTCGCCTGGTTTGTACTTAAATGTGGTTAAAACTGAGGAAAATATTGCAATTTTGGGGCAAAAGGAACGTGCGTGGTTTGCGACGATCATTCCAGCGCAAAAGGTTAATTAACACGTTAGCCAGATTTCCACGCCGGGTCGCAGCTACATAAGTAAGAGAGATTTTCGAATGTTAAACTGGTGGAAGGAGTTGGATACGGTCGTGTTGTGCATGTACCGAACTCCTTATTTCAAGATGGAGCACGGAGTGTTCGATCCCGGTCATTCCGGTTTTTCTCTCCCCAGATGGGACGCAATGGGACTACGGTAAAAGCGGCGAGAATGTAATTAATATTCGAAATCTGAAACGTGGAAACGATGCTGATTCCTGGCGTTGCCCGTGTGGATAAAAGCGTTCGTACGTTCGGCGAATGCTTTCACTGTGCGTGCCTGTCGCTGAGATTAGGTATGCTGGGAATCCGCATAACGGAGAAGGTAGTATTGTTACACGCGTTTCCTATCAACTGTAACGATGTTATTTCCAAGTGCCTAAGGAGTCAAGTATCTAATCTTTAATAGCGTAGAACGAAAAAACCAAAAGCAAGAAAAAAAAGAAAAAAGAAAAGAAGACTTATCCTCCACGTTTCGTACTTTCGTAAATGCTTGATCTGATTCAAACAACCCGCCAGTTTTTATTAGTTGTTCGAACTGATCCTCCACATCGTCAAGGCCTAAATGGATATACGTTTTCATGCAAGCAATTTAAGCGCTGGAAATGAAAAAAATTGCCATGCACGTTGACAAATTTTTATCCCAAAATTGCAATATTTTCTCAGTTTTAAGTATGATTAAATATATAATATATATAATAATGTTAATAATAATATATTTAATTAATGTTAATTATAATTTATTATTTATAATTTTTATAATTTATATAATATTTATAATATATATTATTTATAATATTTATAATATATATAATGTTATTTATAATATTTATAATTTATATAATGTTATTTATAATATTTATAATTTATATAATGTTATTTATAATATTTATAATATATATAATATTATTTATAATATTTATAATATATATAATATTATTTATAATATTATTTATAAGTACAATTTATAATTTATTATTTATATTTAAGTGTAACCCAGGCAAAACGAATAATAAATTCATTGCTTCTCGATAATCTCTGTCCAGTGATATATACCGACGAGTTTCGGTCACTCGTTACGGTCCGCAATCAGTTGCCAGCCGCGACTGGTCAATTCTCGCGAATCTAATCAAAAGAAAGTGGCCAACTCGAAAACTGGACGTGCACGATTTGGATCGGATTTGGGTCGTGGAACTGTATCGCGATCAGTTGATAGCATTGCGTAACGCCGCGAGAGATACGTGACTCGATAAAAAATCGATTGTATCATCGACGGTGGGAACGTTCGTTCGCGTTTCCTCAAGATCGAGAGCCCCACTCTTTCTCCTTTTTTCTTCTTTACACTCTATCTTCGTCTCTCCCTTCCGCCCCGCGCCGGAATCATACATGCACGTATCTTTTTTCCACGCACGAGCGAACTGACGTGATCTGGTAAATAAGAGCTCTGGCCTGAGCTCCTAACAATCTTCGTTAGAGACGCGAAACAATCTTTTCGCGCGCGATTGTTGTTACCATCGTGATGAATACGTGTAGACGTATGAATAATAAGCTTGGTAAGGCGCAAGGCGATCCGACATATCGACGATTCCCGTTGATCGTAGGTTAGGTTTAAAGCCCCGGAGCACGGGAACGATGGAGCAATTGGCTCCGTGGTCGAAGTCGTAACCGCGATGCAAAGGTGTCGTAACAGCGACCTAACAGCAGCTATGTACGTCGAGAAGGGAAGGGAAAAGGAAGGAAGGTGAGTGTAGGCTTCGTTTATATGCCTCACGATCAAACCTGCATACACATAAACGATGAACAAAAATATCGGTGAAAACGAAATTTCTAGTCGGAAAAATTGTATTTTACAAAGAAACGTGTGTGTTCCACGGATTTGCACAGTAGTTTGTACTGAAAATCGATGATACAATCGCGATTCTTTATAAAATGTAATTTTTTTAGGCCAGAAAAGTGTCTTAAGGGCTAGTGTTTCAATATGAAGAAACTGAATTCTTGATTTTAATCGATTCTCGTTCAAATCTGTTACTCTGCGTTTAGAGACTATTCTAACTGGTTCTTAAAAAAAAGAAAATCTTGAGAATTTGTCCTGAAATTAAAATGAAGATAAACATGGAGTATGAGAAGAATGTACAATCGATGAGTGAAATAATAATCTAGGATACTATGTAGCAGTAAACAGTGGAGAATGCTGTTTACTGATATTTCACATTTTATTCACCGGTTATACCAATTGGCATTTCAAACGAAAGTCACGTTATCTATCGAAAGTGTGTATTGGTAATGATCGCCAGAGCACAAATGTATTACACTTTTAAGTATATATCCAAAGAAATAACCCAAATAAAGATTTTATTCGTAATATAAATTCTCAACTATTACAGATCAACTATGACAACAAGTGCCAGAAAATATATTCAGAACTAGACCTTGGTTTCGACATATTAGATGGTCACTGGCCCTAGAACATTGAAGCTGAATGTCCACCATTAAGGATGTAAGACGGAGCTCCACAACACGATATCGCCTGTGGCGCCAAAATCCTGCCACATCATCTCATCAACACGGAAGAATTTCAAAAAAGAGAAAACAAGAACGTGTTCATTTTGTTTTCTAAAAATACCGAGGTAACGAGTCATTCTTCCTGTACAACAGAAATGCCTGATTGATGCTAAAGAGAGATACTAACGTTCTAGCTACGGTTCACACGCGAAATTTATCGTCGAAGATAAGAGGCGGTGGTTGAAAGTTTCCTCGAGCTGAAAAATCGTGAATGGAAAATTCTTGGAGGATTCCTCGCTAGGGAATTGAATTATGTAAATTTCCGATTCGACACGCAGGGGAAAAAAAAAGGAACGTCGATCCGAGTGTCCTTTTGGGAATTCTCGATTGCGCGTCGACGCGATTGAAACGCACGAGGAAAAAAAAGACGAAAGGAGCGTGCTACGAGGCTTGGAGACATTTACAACCCCGCGACAAATATACAGTATATAATTGCTTATGGATGCGGACACGCCCTGAGAGAAAAATTCAGCCGGGGAATGCGCTGAAGTAACCACGTCCTTGACCGTACTTGACGGAAACGGCATTCAACCTTCCGATGCGTTCCTCTCCGTCGTCCAAGATGGAATTCTACAGCGAGGCGAGATTGTACGCCAGCTAAATGCCGCGCTCGAAACTTTTATTCGACGGCTGTCTGAAGAAAATTGAAGGAAGATCGGGAGAATTCTATTGTTAAAAAGTGTAATCAAGCTGTGCGGATCATCTAGCGTTTCGTCCTTTCAAATTTTAAGTAATGCAACGAAGAATTATCTTTGTAAGTTTCTAGTACTTTCTAGTACTTTCAAGTTATGCCAGGTATACGAGCAATTGTGTAATACAGGCAAATTACCCCAAGAGTATCATTTGCTTCACCTGGAAGCGGAGATGCACGATGGAAAAAACTGACTTGCAACGCGAAGTCCAAATGATAGGAGAAAAGTACGGAAAGTCTGACATTGTTGCAAAATTTTATTTCGTTAACTGGCCATTGTTGTCTCTGTGAATTTTTGATAATATATAATCCCATAGGATTGTGTTGTATCTTATCTCATGGTCAGTTGACAAAACATTATTATAACCTCGTTTCTTTAGTTACGTGCTCTAGTGATGAATCTGTTGGTTGATCGCACGTATTCAATTCGATAAATCTCAATCGAAAAAAAAAAAAGAAAGTTGACATTTTTGAAAAATTCATTCTGCATGGGCCACTTTCATTTCTCCTGCCCGAAGACTTCTCATTTTTTTTTTTCTTTTTCGTATACTCGTAGATTGGGATTCGTGAAAAAGTACGTGAAAAAGGGAAGAAATTCATGCTGTCGTTAAAGTAACTTTCCTTTCGAAATTTATAGGCAGCATCGTAAACTTACATCTTCCCGATTTACTGCGCGACAAAGATTTCCTTTTATTCGTTAGTATGTAGAATATCTCGAGGCAAAGGTTGTTCACCTTTTATGAGGAACTAAGATCCTATGAGCTCATGAATTACATTCCAATTGAGCAGTAAAAAAGTATCTTTTCAATATATTGTCTTCTTTAAGAAGTTTCGAGAATTTCAATTCTTCCAATGTGAGCAAGATACGAACGCCTGACATATATATATATATATATGTGTTCATTTCACATACGTAATTTTATATATGCAATATCATAAAATCATTCCACGAAGACGGTATCAAAAACTGGCGAGCATAACAATATCCAATTAAATCGAACGAAGATAAAATATAAAATAGATACAATCTGAAAAGGCTAAAGAACGATTTTAGGATTTCTTGCTAAATTAATCATTGTTTGTGTAACAAATAATAAGAAAACAAAGTTTAAAAATGCATTATCAGCCTGTAAAGTATTGAACATCTTAAAAGCAAGATTATTATTCAAAAACATACACTGTATTGACTCTCGACTATACTATAATCGTAGGTCGAAACACCTGTCATACAATCTATAAAACTAGGTCAAATTAGATCAACTTAATGAGACCGTATTCGTCGATAGTAATATTTTTTAAAATATTAAATCACCGTCTTTATTTCAGTGGTTGAACAATAGATCAACGAAAGAAACCAATAGTTGATCATGGATCAGATTAATTAGCAAAAGTACGTCATAAAGGCTGTATTAGGGAGATGATAATTAGATAACTCGTGATTTCTAAAATTTCATTAATGACATTTCAAGAGGATTGTGGCATCGAAGCTTTTGGAGAAAACGTCAGTTTGTGGAAGCACGAGAGAGAAATACCTGCTGAAAATAAATATATATCGCGTATCGTTATGGCGGGTATGAGCATTGAAAAAGTGGAAAGAAAGTTGCCAATGCGCCTCGCATACCTACTGATCTGCCGGTCGCGAACAAGTTTCGCAGTGAATGGACCGAGCGAATGAACTTTTCACTCACTTGCATCCACGGACACGGATTAATCTCGATTAATCGTAGCTTCGTAACTATGGTGATATCTAGCTGACGAATATATATTTCCCACGCATTTGTCGCGAAGTGATTACTTCCACAAGATCAAAGTCTCTCGTTGCGCGTTGACGAGATTTTCAGGTAACTTCCAGTAAAGAATTTTGCAGCGGCTCTTCAAATTAAATGCGATTACTGCTACTCGATGTTACGACTATCATTTTCAAAACAAGCTCGATGTTCCTGCGTTTCTCAAATTCATCGCGCAACGTCACGCGAAAATGATATGTTTCTGTGGGTGTAATTAATCGTAAACGATCGTACACGAGTTACAAACACTAGAGACACAGTTTGTTTTACAGAGTTACTGATTATCAGAATTGTGGATACGCGTGAAAATATTTTTACGAATATAATTTAAAAAAATGGGGCATATAGGTTTTTCCATTTTACGAAATATTACAACGAGTACTGTACTTTGAGTATTTCATAAGGTAACAAAGGACATTGATAAAATCAGCGTCTTTTTATTACATTCCACATAGGAATTCCGTGCATTCCTATACCTTCAAATTGATAAATACTCAGAAATCCAGTAGTTTGTTGATTACGAAAGAAAGAAAACGTCGATAAATGATAAAAACTGTAAAAAGCCTAATTTTAATCGAAGAACTTAGTATGTGCGATTATTATGAATGACAAAAGATTACGCGATTGCATTCCCCCCCCCCCCTTTCTTTTTTTGCTTTAGGTATCGAAGGTCATTCGATGGAATATCGGTGCACGCAATGTACGGTAAAATATTTGCAATTTATGTCATGGCGGTCATAATCGATATACGTAGGTATTTAGGTAGGCGTGAATTACAGGTGATTGCTGGTGTGGTCGCGATGCCATCGACATCTTCAATGCATCCTCGAGCATTAAGGGATTGGAACAATCCTGACATTTTATTCGAATTCTATGTTCTTTTTTTTTTTCCTCACATATTTTTGTGGATGTCTAATTATTTGTGTTTTATTTTTATCCTATATGTTACAGAGGAGAAAGGAATGCGAATTATGTATTCATGTTATTCACGGATGAAAAACAAGTACCGTAAAAACTTGCGAAATAGCCCGTGTAATTGCGTTTGTACATCAGCTATCTCGTTGATAAGAAATTTTGTGCGAGACGTACGATTTAATGCGAACGCAATCTTATTGAGGACAATTGTATTTGAAATTCGAGAACATTATCGATTAACGATAAACGTGGTGGAATTGCTCGAGTCGAGAGAATGTCTATTGGAAATGTCATGGGCGGGGGACCTTACAAAACGACGAAGAAACATTTACTAGTCCTCTTCATTTTCATCATCGTTGATCCCGTTATTTATATTATTTAACAAAAACGCAAGAGGTATTGCTTTATGAAGATTGTGTTAAAACCATTAGCGACAAGAATAAGAAATTAATCCTAAAGGAGGAAAATAGAGCCAAAACGATGAATCACTGCGACTCAACGTGATAGTGATAACGTCATACAGATATTTACTACGATTTACAATTGCACACGATGCGTACTTACATAAAAGAAAAAAAAAAAAAATTACGCACAGCGAGTCAAAATTATTAGTCTCATTTGGTAACATTCGCGTAGTTAACATCGCGATAATTACGCGCTAAATTTTCATGGTGACTTCAAAGTGTCATTTGCATAAAAATTCCTTCGGAGCACAGTGACTGAGACGCAAGAATCTTGCGGCGAGATAAAGTCATCTTGTGGTTCTGCATTGTTTATCGTACAATTGTGCAGCCGCGAGTTGTTGCGTTTCGATCAAGCACCCAGTGGAAATAAAATTTTGTATCGAATCTTTCTCTTAGAGGTATACGTTACCGAGTACATCGACGCGCGCATCTTCCTCTTAAAGGAGGAAAGATCATCAAATTTCATGAGATAATCAATTCAAAATACAAATGTGTGTCAATTAGAAGAAATTCGACGGCACATTGTAGCGATAGCAGGATTTTTCTTATTGAAATCCGTTACCGTAACCAGACACGGAGTATATATAGATATATATACATATACATCATACATATATATATATATACACATAGTATGTATGCCGTGCGTTGATTATCATTGGAGACGTAGAGCAACAGGTGTGACCACGACGCACGGATTCTCTACGGGGAGAAATCCACGTCGATGTACTCGGTACAATGACTCCAGTCAAGAAATCATTTCCATAAATACCTTGACAGCAGCGTTTCACCAAGTCCGCTGGATTCCTCTGTTCCGCAGTTTCGGATCCGTACGGAACAATTCGAAGAATATAAAAGAAATCACAGCTCGCGCGGACGTAAGGGAAACTGTTTCACAACGGTTTTACTTACCTATTTACAAAATTTTCACGATTACGCACGCACTAAAAGAAGAGGAAAGAGAAAAGAGAAGGAGGAGAAGCTTTCGGCAGAGAGCCAGGTGCCGACCATGCTCGACTGGAAATGCTGAACGACTACCTGATTGCTCTTCGCCTGTTTGCCTCTTACCTGTTTTGCCCAGGTACATTCCTGATGCGTACTCTCTCATTGGCTGAATCGTTACCTATGCAACATGGCGGTGAGATCTAACGGAATCAGATATTTTCAAGAGAACGAGGATATTGTAATTGAGGTATAATTGGCTGATCGACAAGTAATTGATGTCCATCGATGCTACAATCTTCTAAATTGCACAGCGGAATGAAATAAAATTGAAAGTTGAAAAGCAGGGCTGCCAAGATAATAGAAAAAAGAGACTAAAAAAGAATGAAAAATTATAATTTGAGAAAAGTTTGATAGCTTTAATAACAAGCCGAGAGAATTATTTGTAATAATTATACATTACAAATATTTCGGTTTTATTGTAATAAAACAATAATGAGCAAATTGTTCAGCAGTTGATTTATATGATCTTGGAAACTCCATACGATTCACTGTAACAACAGAAAAGTTTTTTAAATTAGACATTTATACATATCAATATTAGATACAAAATGAAATACATAAATTAATACAAATCTAGCAACAGTTAAATTGTAAATATTGAAAGGTATATAATAAACGCTTGCAGCATTAAAATTATTTATTCACAACAATCATTTGTTAGATTACATATGAATAAAACTTAGAAATCCTTTTTCTACATATGTTTATTCGCTAAATTTCATTGCGATGTTCAAATTTTATTTTAACAGAAATTATATTAAAACATTGTAGTCTTACTACATGTAAATATTGAAAGGTTATGTATCATTTTCATAATCTTTTGGATTCTTGCGGTGTAATTTTTTATTTTCCTCATCTGCCCATTCCATTATCACATAAGATACAAGGAAGACTGTAACGTAAAATGAAACATCTTAATAACTAAGAACTAGGTAACTGCAATGTAAAAATCTACAACTACTAGGTTAAGATTACTAATTAATTATAATTAATCATACAACTATACTGGTGAGATTATTGCTTAATTAATAACTAATAAGAAATACTTACAAGGTGCAATGTGTAGAATATATGATCTGCACTTCCTTATAAATCGTCCAAGGGCTTCGCCTGTTCCAGCAAAAGGACTTTGTTCATATGGACTAAGACGGAAAAATGTAACGCCAGTTATTCTTTCAAGCTGTCCAAATTTCTTCCCCATTTTGCTAAAAAATTATTTTGATCTTTTAGAACATGAATAAACGAACATAACCAAGAAATAGAATAAACGTGAAAAAACGTCATTACAAATTTTATAGATAAAATTTTTAGAAACGAACTTTACTCACTTCGATTATTTTTTAAAGATTAATAGTTACTCATTAAGTGTAAAAAGCTATAGGCAATTATTTCAAAATTATGTAACTTACATAATAAATTAATCAGAATCTACCGATGTGGAACGTTCCAAACTCACAAATATCTACCTCTAAAATATATTTGCTAGATGGCATGTTTTGTCGTCTGCACGTTAGAGCGCCAAATTGAAATTATGATATACAGTACAAATTCGTATTAATATTAATACATTCGCGTAGTATAGATATTCATATTAGAATTACGTTCTATGTAATAATAAAAATCATTATTTTTTTTCACGAACAATTTTGTGTAGAATATATTACTTGAATGTAAATATATCACAATACGTGTTTCTTAATTTTTGTCAATTATCAATTTGATATTTAATATAAGGGAATAAAATCAAACCATATAATTAATCTGTAAAACGGTTGTGGTTTTTCATTTTTTGTTTTATATTTCTAAAATAAGTAATTAAACTTATGTAATGAAGATAAATACTAGCACTTCATAGGGAATTTTTGTTTTTATTTGTCCTTGTACTTGCAACTTCGGCTTGGGTCTTTCTACAGTTCAAATATAGTATGCCAATAGACCAGTATTTATCGAGTTCATACATAAATCTTTTTGACAACATAAATAATCTTTTCATATTTGCATTTATGATTTCAATTTTATACACATATATACATATGTGTGCGTGTCTATATAAAAAAGAAAACGTAAATGAGAAATTATTGTTCGTTCGTTGTTACAAGATGGCGCCACTGTCGCATTGTAGTGAAGTAGGTAGTTGGCACACAAGGGAAAAAGTGGTATACGAATCAAGGAATAGGACAGTTGCTCGTGTGCGAGGCTCCGCGTGATATCGTAGATGGTGTGTACTGTGTTTGTTTTGTGCTTGTTACAGCCTATATTGTCAACTGCTTCTCACGAGGTACACAAATGCAGTTAATAAAGATGGTTTATCGAAGCAGATTCCCAAATAAATTGCTGCCGCCAGTGACCGAGTAACTGACGTGAGCTAGACCTGACACGAGGTCCTCACCTGCGTTAGGTGCGTGTGGGCCACCTATCCGCATCCAAGCTGTGTCGAGGCATCCAAGTCATGCTATCGAGGTTCGACACAAATTTTGGCTGTGAGAATTTTTTCGGGACTTATCGTTGCACCCAAGACATGGCTTGTGATCGTGGTGATTCGGACTTCGAGTTCATCATTCCGCCAGAAGCGCCGGTCTTCGAACCAAGTACTGAAGAGTTTCACGACCCCCTTGGCTACATTGCGAAAATACGACCGATCGCAGAGAAGTCTGGCATTTGTAAGATCAAGCCGCCGCCTGTGAGTAAATCCTTCGTTATTGTATTTACATCAATATTTTCCTCTCGTTGCTCTCTCTCTTTCTCTCTCTCCCTCTCTCTCTCTCCCTCTCCCCTCTCTCTCTCTCCCTCTCCCTCTCCCTCTCCCTCTGTCTTTGTTTCACTCTTTTCTCTACCTTATCGCAAAGAAGGACATGATACACGCATACACCATCCATGTTCCTTATTTAAAAATCTGATACTAGAGCGAATGGATAACTTTGTGTGTTTCTTTTTCCTTTTTTTTGTGTGTGTGTGATTGTCGTGAACGTGCAGATATGCACACACGACCTCGTTTACGCACTATGACGCTTCCGCACGAACATCACACAGCCGTGACATCATAAAATAAACGAGTATCCCGTGTAACGTGTACTTTAGAAAAATTTTCTCCTACGTGCACGTAACAACAGTAGGCAGGATTTTTCTGTGTTCGTGCATATTATTCATACGTATCAATGGGTAGGATTTTTCCGCGTTCACGTTAAGAAATTCGGATTCGGTGAGAAAGTCACGATGTTTCGTAAGATAATGCGATCAGAAGGGAAAGAAGGGACTTGGATTTGTTATCTCGGAGAGATTCTTTTTTTATTTCGTGTCCGTGTATTGTTAGCATTTTCATCGTTGTCTCGAACACGTACGTACATATGTGCCCGATATCTTTTCCGTGTTCCGAATGGGAAGCTAGAGAATTGGGAGTGACAGCGTTCTTGGAAGTAGGAAAAATTCTAGAATGAAGTACGTTAGGCATCCGTTTCATTGCGACATTTAATATCGTTATATGTAGCTAGAAGGTACGCTATGTAAAATGGCCGAGACAATCGAAACAATGTCACCTTAGGAGAACATCTTGAAATGTTTCGGAAATTTTCTACGATACCCAACAGACATGAACAGATCGACGGAGAAAGCGCTGAAATAATTATCAGCATTTGCGGGTAACGATCTTTCCGAGGCACGCTCTGTTATCGTAATATTATCGATAGGGGAATCATTTTCGTGTATAGAAGTAACTATTTCGTCTAAAAATATTCGGAAAGTACGGCAAGTTTTTCTGCAGACACGTTCCGTTGTGTCACGCTCCTCTTGAGAATCTTTGTGCAATTTAATTTGTTTTAAGAATTTGACATAATTTCTTTCTCTTTTTTTTGCTTTTTTAGCCTCGCGAGACGGAAAAGCTGACGCGCAGTGCCGTTAAATTTTCTCGTTCTTTCCCGGAGTGCACTTTTTTCGGAAAAACGTTCGGGCTTCTAGTTCAAATTTTATAAATTCTTCGCTTTGATTTGTATCACCGTTAAAATTGATTTGAGCCACCATTTTGTTTTCACACGTGCAAAGAAAGATTTTATAATGTAAATTTTCAGATTGTGTCTTTCTTGATCGCAACGAATTTGGTAGCAACTTTAGAATTGAATCGAGTGCCGAAAATCTTGATTCTTTGATATGCGATGATTGAAAAATGTAGTACAAAATATACAAATAATATAGCACAGCGTACATATGAATAACAATTTAACTAAACTCAACTTATAAAATCTGTATCTACTGAGAAAATTATGCAATCATTGCCTTCCTAAATGCATCGTACAATTTCTTTTTTCTCAAATGAAGATGTATTTTTCTACATATTTAATAAAAAATATTTATTGCATTATGTTTAATTTGTTCAGTTGTTTGTATAATTATTAACCTCATAATTATTGAAGTAATTTAAAGGTATGTTGAATTTTACAAACAATACTATTCTCTCAGCTTTCAAAGAAACACTGTTTAAATTCATAATTCTTTTTATTAGTGTTGCTTTGATATATGCATATTATTTTTATAAACTGTTAATATTTCTCTCCTCGTTAATTACTTGAATTCTTAAAAAAATTTTTTTTACAATAATTGTTACCTTTTATGAGCGAAAATCAATTTTTTTTTTTATCTATCTAATAATTTTGACCAAATCATAACTTATGTATTAATCTATTTATCTGTAATTCATTACTCTTTGAGAAAATTCATATTTTGTAACGGGATGACGCCATTACGGAAATAACTATGGTCACGACATTAAACGGGCATCGTATATGGAGAAAAGCTTCGTGATATTTATGTATTTTCTTGAAATGCGACAATATGTTTTCTACCGAAGATATTGTTTCGTTGTTTATTGTGTCGGTGTAATTTCACTAGACGCATGAAATGTCATATCATCGCAACAACGACATAATTCGCACCTCTATTTTTCTTTTTATAGTTGTTTTATCCTCTTTATTATTTGCTTTTCGAAAAGTCGACTGATCTTACAATGGTGTTGCGTCACGGTAAAGATGAAGCTACGAAAGCATTTATCGATTATTTAGTCACATATATTTATGTGCTACTATGTATTTTACTAATAACATGCTAATATTTTAGGATAAATAAAATTAAACGAAAGTAATTTCCTTGTGTATGTTAGATAGGTATTAATAAAAAGTCGCAATTATAATTTTATAATGTTGTTATATTGTACTCTGCCTACAAATTCCCATTTTGTTAAATTAATTGAGGCACCTGACAATCTGAAAGTATTATGTACCGTGTATATCGAATGTAAATTAAAGTTATAATAAATGTTGTGTATATTCTTAAAACATATTATATTACCGTTTTTTGTATGAACTTGATATATAGATTACCTTATATTGACAGACATTAAAAGTGCTTAATAAATAATTTGCATCACCAGAATGTTAATTTTACATGACTTTTATTATATTCAATTTGTTTACTTACAGAATTATTTTTAATAATTTCCAATAAGACCAAGAATATTTTCCGGATCTTACATAATAGTTATTAACAATGTATTACTAGTATAATACTGCTATTTCTAGTATTATTAGTATAATACAAAGTTATTTTGTGTCACAGTCTTGCTTTATTCACATCATTTTATTTTTTGATGTCAATATAATTTTTTACAAGTAAAAACAAATAAAAATATGTATAAATTAATTTTATGAATTTATTTCCTCCTTTTTTATAGAATTGGCAGCCACCATTTGCTGTTGATGTTGATAAATTCAAATTTGTTCCAAGAATACAAAGACTAAACGAATTAGAGGCAAAAACAAGAATAAAACTTAATTTCTTGGATCAGATTGCAAAATTTTGGGAACTTCAAGGTTCATCTTTAAAAATTCCGCTTGTTGAACGCAAAGCTCTTGATTTATATTCTCTGTATAAGATAGTTACTGATGAAGGTTTGTTATTTTGTCATTTAATTATTAATTTATTAATTTCATGCTTTCTGTTTATCAATGTTATGTGTCATACTATGCATTAATGTTATTTTTAGGAGGAATTGAAACAGTAACAAAGGAAAGGAGGTGGGCAAAAATTGCAAATAAATTAGGTTATCCTTCTGGACGCAGTGTTGGAAGTATTCTAAAAAATCATTATGAACGTATTTTATATCCATTTGATGTTTTTAAACAAGGAAAGACATTGGCAGATATTGTAAGTTATTTTTTATTTATATGTATTATAACTTTTTCCCTTCAATAATGCATAATGCATACATATAATGTATATTGATTTATGCAGAAAATTGAACCAGATTCTAATGTAACTGAGAAGAAAGATAGAGATTATAAACCACATGGAATTATATCTCGACAACAAATTAAACCCCCAGCTGAGAAATTTTCACGTCGGTCAAAAAGATTTACTAGTCAGGAAGAAAAACAGGAAATATCTATCAAACAAGAAGATTGCAAAGAGGAATGTGATTCTGACAATGATTGTAAAGATGGAATTAAAAATAAACAATATAATGATGATAAAGATAATAGCAAGGAACTTAAAAAATTACAATTTTATGGACCTGGACCAAAAATGGCAGGATTTAATACTAAAGAAGGAAAAAAATCAAACAAAACTAGAGGAGTAAAGCTTACTTATGAAGTTGATCCAGTGAGTGTAGTCCACTATTATATATTCAGTTATATGATATATATTTGTAAAATTGATTTTCTCTTTCTTAATTCATGTCTATATTTTTTTAGTTGGCAAAGTACATTTGTCACAATTGTGGAAGAGGTGACAATGAAGAAAATATGCTTTTATGTGATGGATGCGATGACAGTTATCATACCTTTTGTCTTATGCCGCCGTTAACAGAAATACCAAAAGGTGATTGGAGATGTCCAAAGTGTGTTGCAGAAGAAGTTTCTAAGCCGATGGAAGCATTCGGATTTGAACAGGCACAAAGGGAATATACTCTTCAACAATTTGGAGAAATGGCTGATCAATTTAAGAGCGATTATTTCAACATGCCTGTACATGTATGTTATCTTATTATGTTTAACATAATGTAATTATAATGTAACGTGATTGTACATATTTGCCAATATTTTTTCTTAGATGGTGCCAACATCATTAGTAGAAAAAGAATTTTGGCGAATAGTTTCTTCAATTGATGAAGATGTAACTGTGGAGTATGGAGCAGATTTACACACAATGGATCATGGGTCTGGGTTTCCAACAAAAACAAGTGTCAATTTGTTCACATGTGATCAAGAGTATGCTGAATCTTCGTGGAACTTGAATAACTTACCAGTTTTACGTGGAAGTGTACTAGGTCATATAAATGCTGATATTAGTGGCATGAAGGTACCATGGATGTATGTTGGAATGTGTTTCGCAACATTTTGTTGGCATAATGAGGATCATTGGAGTTATTCGATAAATTATCTACATTGGGGAGAGCCAAAAACATGGTATGGTGTGCCAGGCTCTCAAGCAGAACGATTTGAACACTCGATGAAATCGGCTGCACCAGAATTGTTTCATAGTCAACCAGATTTACTTCACCAGTTAGTTACTATTATGAATCCAAACATTTTAACGAATGAAGGTAATACGATATTATTTTTTATTGTTATTCTTTTAATTATGCAATAAATTCTTATTATTAATATTTATATTTGGCCCATAGGTGTTCCAGTATTCAGAACTGATCAACACGCAGGAGAGTTCGTGGTAACATTTCCAAGAGCGTATCACGCAGGTTTTAATCAGGGATATAATTTTGCGGAAGCCGTGAATTTTGCTCCTGCTGATTGGGTATTATCATATTAAGGCAACATTACATGTTCACATTTATACATATGTAGTTCATATAATTATTCTATGTTCAATAGCTCAAAATTGGACGAGAATGCATAACGCATTATTCAAATTTAAGACGATTTTGTGTATTTTCTCATGATGAATTGGTGTGTAAAATGTCGTTGGATCCAGATTCATTAGATATAGGAATTGCAACTGCAACCTATCATGATATGCTTCAAATGGTAGATGATGAAAAAAAGCTACGGAAGAATCTGTTGGAGTGGGTAAGTGGTATACTTCTAGTTTTTAGATAATATAATTTTTATTTTTTAAATTTGATGCAAATATCACAAGTTATTGAAAATAAAATATTTAAGTTTACTAAATATATAAAAAAAATGGATGTATATTTTATTATTTTACTAATTATTATAAATATATCATTGTTTCATTGATATTTACATGTGTTTTATCAGAATTTTTTGAAAAAATATATTAAAAATATATTAATTCAAATGCTGTTTCCAAAATCAACATAAACACATAGAACAGATTATAATTCTAAATGCAAAGCCTAATATATTTAGGTCAAACAGTATAGTATATGCCGAGACATTCCCTCAAAGACCTACACATGCAACGCTGCACATATACACACACATCGCAACGTGTAACCATGCGGGTACACGCGGTGAAAGACGTGTGTGCGGCTGATATTACCAACCTACGATTGGGCATCGTAGTTCCATCGACAACGTTATAATCGTCGTTGATACTTTCATATTTTGTTATTTTTGATTAGCCTGTATTCGTATCGTTAAAATAGTTTCCGTGCGATCGTTTCTTAGTTATCAACCTTGACTTGTTGATACCTATTTGGTGTGTCTCTCCTCTTGATTATATAACTTTTATTGCTGAATAGAGGTTATGTTTTTAAAGTTTTGCCATGATGTTAAACAGGCAGTATATTTTTTCTGTTGGTTCACAGATTTTTGTAATTTTTTTTTTAATTTCATTGAAAAGCGTTAACGTTAATATCAAATAAGTTATATATACATGAAAATTATTTCTATTTTAAAATTTATTTGTCCACAGATGGATACACGTATTTCTTTGATAATCTTATTCTACGTTGTAATATTTCTTTTAAAATGTAAGAACAGTGGTTCTTCTTATGAATGACCTGTGTGGTAAAAACTATATTTTTCAGGGTGTAACAGAAGCAGAACGAGAAGCATTTGAACTTTTACCAGACGATGAGAGACAGTGTGAAGTGTGCAAGACAACTTGTTTCTTGAGTGCAGTTACATGTTCATGCCAAAGTTCTCAGTTAGTTTGTTTAAGGCATTTCACAGAACTTTGTGATTGTCCCCCAGAAAAGCATACGTTGCGTTATCGCTACACTTTGGACGAGTTACCAATTATGTTACAAAAATTAAAATTAAAAGCAGAGTCATTTGACTCGTGGGTGACAAAAGTAAAAGAGGCAATGGATCCTGATAAGAAGAGTGATAAAATTGAATTAAGTGAATTGAAAGAACTGTTAAATGAAGCGGAAAGTAAAAAATTCCCAGAAAGTGAATTACTTATAGCTTTAACAACTGCTGTGCAAGATGCTGAGAAATGTGCAAGTGTTGCACAACAACTTTTAAACAACAAACAGCGTACCAGGTATTGTGATGTTTTTTAAATTTATGTTTATGTTAGATTCGTATTAGACAGGTCAAATTATTTAAATCTTTTCGTACAGAACCAGACAATCTGTTGAAACTAAATACAAGCTTACAGTAGAAGAATTAACACTTTTCTATAAAGAAATAACAAATTTATGCTGTGAACTGAAGGAGTCTGATGGAGTAAAATTTATACTTGATCAAGTATTGCAATTTCAAAAAGAAGCGGAAGAACTAGAATCTAAAGAGGATGATTGTGATATTGAACAGTTGGAAAAATGTATTGAGTTTGGTGATTCTATTTGTATTGAACTACCTCAACTTACATGTTTGAAACAAGTAAGCATGAATTATACATACTTGATATATAATTACATACATAGTATAATTATACGTGCATGAATTATGCATACTTGATAAAGACATGTTCCTGTTTTCACATACTTATTTATTACAGAAATTGGCACAAATACAGTGGCTTGAGGAAGTAAAGTCTATCCAAGAAGATCCGAAGTCAATACATCGTGATGATTTAGCAAAATTAATTGAAAAAGGTATGACAATGCCTCCTCATTTAAGTATAGAAAATACTCTCTCAGAATTGCAAGCATTAATGGTTGCAATTGACAACTGGGAAGAAAAAGCAAAATTGTATCTACATACTAAAAATAGACAAACTGTTGCATCTCTTGAAGAATTTATTCATGAAGCTGATAAAGTAGAAGCTTATCTACCAAGTTTAGATGTTCTTCAAGATACATTAAATAAAGCAAAAAATTGGACAAAAATAATGGACGAGATACAAGCAAGAGATAATTTTCCATATTATAATACATTAGATGATCTAATTAAGAAAGGTCGAAATATTCCACTGCACCTAGATGCTCTTCCAATCTTAGAATCCACGCTTTCACAAGCAAAAGCATGGAAAGAGAGAACAGCGAGAACATTCCTAAGAAAAAATTCACATTATACTTTAATGGAAGCTTTATCACCACGAATTGGTGTTGGTATACAAGCATTAAAAGCTAAAAAAAATAAAATTGAAGATTCTGTCGGACCTGTCTTTGTCTGTGATACAAAATTGGACGATTCCAATGATTCAGCTACTATTGTGGCCGCCTTTAAATTAGCTGAACAACGCGAAATGGAAGCAATGCGAAATTTAAGGGAAAGGAACCAAATGAAAACCAAAATTGACGATTCAAAGTATTGTGTTTGTCGTCGACCAAGATTCGGGCTTATGCTTCAGTGTGAACTTTGCAAGGATTGGTTCCACTGTAAGTATTATATTTTTTGTCACAATGAATGTAGCTATTAGTTTTGATATTAATTATAATTAGATGAAATGTATTTTAGCAAATTGTGTACCTTTGCCAAAGACATCATATAAAGGAAAATTTCCAATGTCGAGGGAAATTAAATTTTTGTGTCCGTGTTGCTTACGTTCAAGACGGCCACGATTAGAGACAATTTTGGCACTTTTAGTTAGTCTTCAGAAAATTCCTATTCGTTTATCAGAAGGCGAAGCGTTACAGTGTTTGACGGAACGTGCAATGAATTGGCAGGTGAGCTCTATGTAAAAATTAACATTAATAAACCGTATTATAATATATAACGATATACATAATATACATAGTATACATACATCGAATAGGATCGAGCGCGACAAGCATTGGCCACAGATGAAATTTCGACGGCATTAGCAAAATTATCTGTGCTATCACAAAAATTAGTGGAAGCAGCAGCAAGGGAGAAGACAGAAAAAATTATTAGCAGTGAATTGAAAAAGGCAGCGAATAATCCTGAATTACATCAGAGGGTTCAAGCAATTGCACCGCTCAGCGGTGTACACTCAGATGACAGTGCACTTAGTACTGCGGTATGTTTATTCATGTGAATATTTGGAATAAAACGGCGTTATACATATATGCATATATGATTTGAATATATTTATGACAATATTTTAGGATGATGACGACGACGTTGTTACTATAGATGACGACGAACCGAGTTGTAGTACATTCAACAGTAACGAACACGCATATTCTTATAGTAAGATTTTTCTTCATAATAAATAATAAATGTGTAATAAATACAAACAAAATATTCATGATGTTCATATTTTTTTGCAGTATCAAAAATTCAGCGTAAAACACAATCAAATGATGCAACGGAAGTCGCAGTTGTACTTTCACAAACAGCAAGAGTACGTCTAGAAGAACTAATGATGGAAGGCGATTTATTAGAAGTCGCACTCGATGAAACACAACACATATGGCGTATCCTAAGTCATACAAATAGCCCCAGTACAGTCCGAAAGTATGCATCGTATGACGAAGTTCACACTAACTTGAATCAAGACATAAAAGATGTAAAAAAGCGTGGAAGGAAAAGGAAATCCGACGAATTGGAATTATTGAAAAAACTTGGCAAACAAAAGATGGAAGAAAAAAATTTAGCTAAACGAAAAGGATTACAGAAAGAAAAAAAATTAGCTAGTTCTCCAGTGCCAATGAAGCGTGGACCTCGCAAGGTATATAAATTTATAAGTATCTTATACTTATTAACGAAGTTTGAATCTGGAATATTTCTTAGTTAAAAATACTTTAAATAAATATGGCATTAGTTTGCTTTGATCTTAATTAAATGTAAATTTTAGATGAAACGTAAAGAAGGCGAAGAAGGGCCAAAGAGAAGGGGTGGTAACAGAAAGAAGACCAAACAGGATACCTCGGACGAAGAGGATGATTGTGCTGCTGTCAATTGTTTACGACCCAACGGTAAGAATATTTCATTTCAACAAAATATTCAGTGCAATTATCGTTTCTGTATGTGTATTGTTCTATACATTTCTCTTTTGATTTTATTCGTGCTAGGTAGAGAAGTTGATTGGGTACAATGTGATGGCGGCTGTGAAGGTTGGTTCCATATGCATTGTGTTGGATTAGATCGTACAGAAATTGCAGAAGAGGACGATTATATATGTAGTAATTGTAAGGAAGCGGAGCAAAATTCAACGGTAAGTTAAATTAAAATTAAAATTAATTTAATGTTTAGGATATCGTTGCCATTTTTATATTTCATAGGTTTGCTTGGTGAAATTCTTCTTTTCTCCATTATGTAATATTTGAGTTTCTTCAATTATTCAATTTCTATTTCCCAATTCTTTATTTTAGTTATTTAAGTTTCGAGTCTTTCATTTGCATAAGTAGCATTATATTATAGTTTTAGTGCAATATTTTTTTTTTTGTGTTGTCTATACTGTAGTCAAGAGCGCCAGATCCCCTAGCTGAATCATTAGGCCTGGATGCACTTCTTTCCCTTTCTCAATCTCAGGGATACCAGGGCACAGATAATGAGGCAGATATTCAAGAAACCACATCCTTCGTCAGGACGTACTAGCCTACTTTACCTTGTTAATTCTACACAAGACTATAATGTTTATCAATTTCAACTGACTGGGCACTTGCGGTTCGACAATTAATATTATCTACAACCATCATTCAGTCAGTTGGTACTGCAGATTATCGGATGCCGTTTGAATACTGTTGCGAGTGGATATTGAAGATAAAGTATTATACTACGGTCGAATTGCAATCTTGACGACTGCGAATGTTATTTTTCTATTTTGATTTGATGCAAAACTATTAACTTTTTGTATGTATTATATTGCATTGTATTTCATTTTTCCAAGATAAAACAGATGTTTATCAAGAAGACGATTTATTGTACAAGTACAATACATTTATTTATAATTTAGGAAAATTAATTTCATACATTGATATTTAATATTAGTGTATAATATTATAACCTGCTTATTTTTATCCAATAACATATTGCTTTTGATATGATTCCGATTAAAAGAAAAAAACCTAAATCATTATGTATATTTTATAGATCAAGTATCGCGGATGAACCGTGATATACTACTTTGTGGTTTACATGGGATTTTAGAAAATAGATATTTTGCATCTCATTGTAACACTTATTTCTTATCTCTCGCTGCAACGGTTGATAAAACATACAGGCTTTGCGAGACCAATGACTGTTAAATAATTAACAATATGCGTTAGCATTATTTATAATGCTATTTATAGTGTGAATGACGCTCTTTTCCTAAGCGAACATACGACTAAAAAAGGATATGAAAGATAACGAGGGAGAGAAAGGAGAGTATAATTTTATCTAATGATTTAGATGATCTGTGACATAAGATAAAAGTTAGCGACGGCGACATTGTAAAAAAAGAAGTCATCTCAAATTACTTCTATTCAAAGGAAGATTCCGTCGGTTTTTGTATCGGTTTTTAATTGTAATGGTGCAAGAGAATTTCTCTTGCGCTAAAATAGTATGTACAGATAGACTGAGATATGTGTGTATTAAGATATAGATATTATTATACATATATATAAGAAATTAGATTGAAATTTAGAAGTAAGTTACAGTTTGTATAAAACAAAGAATTGACACGCAGATACATAGCATATCTAAATCTGCCTTCCTGAAATAATTGATTAGAATTTATTGGATTTTGGACCAGAGTGTACAACTTATATAATTTATGAGAGTTTGTAAATCATTTGATTTTCATTTCATTTCATTTCATTTCATTTCATTTCTCTTGTTCGTTTCTAATAATCGTTTTACATTGTGGTATTATTGATTTTAGTGAACATTTTCCGAATGGCCTAAAAATATATATATTTTATAATGTAAATTCTGCATCTAATTCTAAATTTTAGTATTAGAAAAGATTAATTTTACAATTTCAACCGATTAACAAATGAAAGTATTTATTTTAATCCTTACAGTTGTATTATATTTTATAATATTTGGTAGCTTGATGAGTTTATACATTGGTGTGCTAATCCTTTTATCTTGTACATTCAACATTAGTTCGAGTTCAACATTAAAAAGTGTTAACTTCTCCTGTATTGTTAACATTCATATGATATAATTCATCGATGTAGCATAATTAAAGTTTACTTATTACTTTATACATTAAAGTATTATAAAATTACTGAATATTATAAAGATGATACTTACATTAACGATAAGATATATTCCATAATAAATCATTTTATGAATGTTGTAAGTGTTGCAAATATGGATCTCATTTCCGATGAAACAAAACAGAAAAACGTTAAGAATGCATCGTTATCCATTGGTGTGAAATATAGATTATGGGATGTAATTTGTGTATTTAATGTTGACTCTGGTACAAAACCGTGTTTCGCATATTAGTTGATAATGGAATTCTTTAGTTACTTTTTAACGTGATTGTTAAGCTAATCTTTTTTTTTAAATCTATATATAAAAATTTGATTTACTTGACTTTCGTGCAAAAGTGTTATGTGCGTGTCTCTATCTATTGATGTGGTTTTTTGCACGATATGCCAAAAAAACTACATTGTGTAAAGAAAAGAAAAAAAAAGAAATACCTTCGTTGTGGATTCATTGATGAAGCTGTGCCAGCAGCGTGAGAAATTTTGTATAATTACTTGTTAAAGAAAACAAATATCAATCATTGAGTTTCCATACGAGAACTAAAATATATATGAATGCATGTTATATGTGGAATGACACGACGCACAGTGTGTTTTAAACATTTGCATATCGAAACATACGTTGCCAATCGTCGATGTTAGCATGAATTGAACGAATTTTATTAATGAATGTTCATATTTCACTGTTAGATGTCGTAGCTTAAAGAAATATTGATTATTCGTTTAATTGGTTAAACAGAATCCACTTTAAGATAATCGTATTGATAAGGAAATCCTGATTGTATGCATCGTTCACGATTAGTATGTTATGTGTTTCGTTTAAAACAGACTGTAGGTCAAAGATTCGATGAGACATGTGTACACACATATATTTTTGTACAGATAGAAAAGGGCTCAATAATCTCTTTGATTATTGCTCTTGGATACGCGGAAATACAGTGAATTTCTAACGATAGTGTGTTTTCGCGTTTCGATTAGATGAGGTACGAATTTCATTTGTTTCTTTTCTTAATAAAAATAATATATAAATATATATATGTATACATATGTATGTACATTGGTTACTGTATTTTATACAATGTACTTAGAATCATTTTTTTATTAAGATTAAAAAGAAAAAAAAAAGAAAAGGAAAAGATGAAAAAACGGATAATAAATTTGTGTGCTTTATGAGGTGGTACACTATCATTAAAAATACATTGTGAGATTAGCAACATAAAAAAAAATTGAAACTGCGTGATTACTTAGAGCTGTTGCAAAATAGACATTTTGAACATTGTACTTTACCATTAAATACTAGCGTACACCATGTCAAATACTGATCATTCATTTGGCGTAATATAAGGCAAGTGCCTACGCGTTTCCAAGAAATTATACTAATCGTCATAACGAAAGAAACTCACCTTTATTAATCTTCATTATGAGATAATGAGCATAAAATGTCTAGCGGATCAAAATTTATAAGAAAAAAGGATTATCATGCTTCGACTAAATAATTTTCGTGAATTAAAGTTATAAATTAGATGTTCTTAGGTTTACACGTAACATAGTTCAATTTTTAAACGCAGCTAATATTTATTTTAACAATAATTTGTAATTTGTTTCCCCACTTGATTGGAGAATACATTCTTTAAACGAGAAAATTGCCATGAATTTTTGATGTGACTCGCAATTTCATTCGAAATTTATGTTTTGTACCATCGTTGTAAATTGCTCGCTCACGGCAGTAATTATTTTTGACTGATTATATCTGTCTTTCGTTGTTCTAAAATGTTAGCTGAATTTTCGTTCGATTAATTAGTATTTATTGGATCGTTCATTCAAACGAATGTAGTCACAAAAAGTGTTACTTAATTTTCATTGCATCAATGCTAATAATCGTCTTTATGTTGAACTCGATTGTTTTCTCGTCCCTTTCTGTTTTATATATTATGCGAAAAGATCAGTATAGACGCGTTCACGTTGGACGTCTTTTTAGTTATTCCGAACGTCACACCTCGCAGAAAGAAGGAAAGAAAGAAAGAAAGAAAGAAAACCTTCCACCAAAAATTTAGTCGATAGAAAACCATTGTCGTGTATCTCTTATTTATTACATTTTTGTCTATTTGTGTTTTCTCGATTGTTCGTAAAGAAGAAATTAATTCCTTCAGGAGGAAAGCTTCCAGCGAATGATCCTTTATTGTCGTCACCTGCGTAAATAACTATTTTACTGTATAACATATATAGATACGTCGTTTATTTCTTTCATACACGAATCATTTTAGACAGAACTATTTATGAGACAGTAAATGTAACCTAGGGCTAAGTAGTGTTAAAGTAGTCTTTATTTGTAAGATTATATCACTTTGATTTCCGATAAAATATATTAAATGTAAATGTGTGTACATGTACATTCAATACCATAAACTGCTTTTTCTCTCGTCGGTTTTATAGTTGAAACAGAGAAAAAAAGGAAAAGAAAAGAAAAAAAAAAAGAGAGAGAGAGAGAAGTGGTAGATATGAAGTACAAATTTTTAACGTTACGTCAATGCAACATACATAGTTGTTCCCAGTAGTTATCCGGGAAATGCATCAGACATCTAAGAAATTCCATTTGTCAAAGAGTGTCGTTGCCGATCTTTCATGATGTAACATTATTTAAAAGGGGTCGATGTCCGTGGAAGCGTATTCGTCTAACTGGTGGGAGAGATAGAATGTCAATAAAGAACGGCGGAACATGAAAGTTGGGGGAGACATGAATTTCTCGTTTATATGACGCACAACGGGAAGTTGAGCAAGCTTGGTCGGAAGGAGATTTTGCGCTTGTGTAAGATAGAGTTTTTCGGCTGAAACTAATATTTCAGGCGTTAGACGAAGGATTTAGAATGCGAATATGATTTTTCAGATGAATATTAAAACTTTGCTAGGCGAGCGAAAAGATTTACGTACGGAGTAGAGGAAATCTCAAAATTTATTTTTTTAATATTTTTTCTTTCTTTTCTTTTTGTATAAGTTGATTTTGTATGGAAAAGAAAAACTTTCATTTTTTTTTGTTTTTCAAAGATTTATTTTGTTTCCCCTTTGTGTGTTTTCTGTCGACAACAATCACATTATTTCAATAACGATGAATAATGCAAGTAATTAACAAACAGTGTTTAACATTACTAATTTAAATGTCATCATGCGTGAATGCGTGCTGAAATTATGTACATTGCTTTGTTCACTCGTTCGATGATGCATTTCAATATTAAATCAAGCATGGAGGCAGACTCCGCGCCGCATCAGGCAATTTAAGCGAATGACTCAACCTGAACTTTTTGCTCTTAATGTACGCACGTCTCTTACTGCGTATGCAAAAAAAAATGATTCACCACGGAATTTCGTTGTCCGTTTCTGTGAACATCGACGTTTTATTAGCATCGTCCTTGCCTCTTCATCGTATTTTCGTCATCATCATTCGCATATTTTTAATGACTAATAACATTACACACGTTGTAAATAGATATTTTCAAATTCATTCAAAAAGTCGCTTCATCCTCGCGGAAAATGTGATTGTTCATCGGTCAGTCGAGTCGAGTTGTTTAATTAGACGTCGTTCCATTTTGATATTTTACTTCGCGTTATATCGCTAATGTTATTCATAGGCGATAACGTCAATAGTAAAAATGATAAACAGGCAACATTTTAGAAACAAAATACGGAAATAAAGATAACGGCCGTTGAATATCACGTCCTCCTTTTCTTTCATTTGTTCTTAAACAACGTTAAATTTCACCGACGAAATTACACACTATCGTGTGTATAATTTCCTCTACACAGAAGTAATACATCATTTTTGATTCTATACTTTTATATAATGCGAGATATACTGGTAATTCTGTCATGTATGTTGAAACAATTTTATTACGAACGGCAATTTGAAAAAGACATTTAATTGCGAGGATCATTTTTACGCGCACGTAAGAATTTGGATCCAGGGCGATTAGATAAGACACAAAGTGACGAATCGAAAAGTATTTTATGGTTCTTATATTTGGAGGGAGGAGGGAACTGTGACGAATGAAGTCATTCATAGAGAGGATGTCTTCTGTCACACAGATTGAAGAGACGCTCGTTTGATAACTTCCGCCCTCAGGTTCTCAAAAGTGTGACGCTTTGACGGCGGAAGGGAGTAGTTCCAAGTAAGAGATGCTTTTGTTCTCTGGAATATTCCACATTTCAAAACGTTTGAGTTGAATATTTTTGATGGTACAAGACATTTATAAAAAAATACGTTTGTAGTCGAATAGTATTGAGTAGAAATACGTTTTTTTAGAAATGTAAGAGAAACATCAGTTAATCTTTTATTTTGTAACTTCGAGTCACGTTGGTGGCTATGTGTACGTATAAATTTCTTACGAGTCAAATTGATCAACTCCACCTTTCTTCGTTCATCGCAAGGAAAATAGTAATCAAGATTCTAAACGAGTTTCAACCTTTCAATTTACAAAGTTGATCAATGGGACTTTTGAAAACAACGAAGCTCGAATTAAACTCTAATTCCACTTCCAATGTTTCAGACCAATGCGAGTACCAATTTTAATATCAATTACAGATGACATATCGCTGGATCAGTGAATGGCGAAACTCTTCCGAAGAGATCGTAAAGCAAGGAGTTAATAAACGTAATAACGACCCACGATATTTCTCGTTCGAGAGTTTGTTTCCGTGAAAGAGATATAACGTTTAAAGGTACTCGAAGAGAGAAAGAAAGAAAGCAAACCAGAGGAGTCAATAAAGGATTGTTTCGTGTGTTAAGCAGATAAAAGCCAGAGTGATGATTTTTATATTCGAGGAATTTTTCACGGACTCTCGTCCTGGGACGTCCAAGGCAACAGTGAGGTCCCTTCGCGCTGGCTCGGTCGTTTCCGCGCATGCTCGGCTGGCTGGCGCGTGCTTCGTTTGATGTACGGCGCCTCAGTATTCGTTGCGACTCTGTAACAGTGGGAACGTGTTTTCGTGGTGTTCTGGCTGGGTTTGTAACCGCATAACCAGAAACGCGTACGCGAGGTGCGAGAACGCCTCGAGTAACCGTTTTCGTAACTACCCGCGTGCACAATCGGCTGAAAATTACCGACTCGTGTTAGAAATTTTCGCAGTTTTGATTTGGTGTTGGGTACACTGCGTACGCGCTGGACGTCAACGAAAGAGAGAGAGGCGCGAGGGAGTGAAAAGGGCCAACGCAGGGACGACTGCAGCGAAAGGAAAGACAAAAGTATTATATATTCGACCAACATGGCCACTGCGATCGACGACCGGCAAGAGTTGTTGGAGCAATTTCAAGCGGTGAGTCCTTTTGTTTTCGTCTTTTCGTTCTCCAATCGTGCCTCCTATCTCGAACGATCGACTCCTAAGAACAATTCCGCGTGTTTTCCTTTTTGACGTTGCACGTATATTACTGCGTACACCCTGGCTTCTTATCGATCGCCGGTTTTATCAGCATGTTTTCATGGAAACCCACCCTCGTAAGTGTCGCCACCCTACACTCGGTTTACTCGGTTTTTACGCCGAATCTTCGTGAAATTTCAAACGTACGCGGCGCTCGCGGAATCTCTTTTTATTTGCAATTGTTGTGACAGGAGATGATTATGTTGTTCGAAAATTTGTCAACTCTTTCGTTACTGTAAACGTAGATATTCATTCACGGACAATGGAATATCACTTACTGTCAGTATTGTTGCTATCGCTAATAATACGGTTTTTCGTACTTTTACGAAGCATTTGGCCGGCTCGTACAATAGTCAAGCCGAGGCATGACTATTGTACGAGCGAAACAATGCTCCGTAAAAACTGAAATCGTAAACTAAGAGTGAGTAAACAGAGTGAGTGACATTCAAATAAATATATTAAAGAAAGACACAAAATGTTATTGTTGCGACGCGTAATATTGGAGCTGTGAGATGTGCTTCTCAGAGAAGTGTAAACACTACTACGAGATATTTTGACCGTGACATCGCAAAAATGAAATTATGAGACGAGGTATATGCATTGCATTAGGCTGGCCAAAAACTGCGTTCTTTTCGTGTGCAGATGAAAGGCGAATTTTTCTTGAGAAACAGAAACTTTATTAGATGATATATCGACCATTTTGATACATCGATTATCTTTCGTCATCTTACGGGCAACTTCAACTTGATCTCCGCGTTCAAAAAAGTTCTTATCTTTTTCACCAAAAAAAGAGAAAAAAAAAAGAGTTCCGAGAACGATTTGATATCCTCGTAAGTAGTGAAATTTAGCAAACCAATTGTGGCAGCCTCATATCAGATAATTTTTTATGAGCTTGCACAGCGTTCTTTACCTCTTCGGAAATAGCGCGCCAAAAATGTTCATTTCTGATTTTTTCATTTCGCGGTCGATGACAGACGAACGATTGTTAACGAGGTCGTGCATTTGTTTTTTTTTTTTTTTTTTTTTCTAAAACAAGTTCGACTCAGATTACACAATGAATTTATTAGTGAAATATCTTGTCTATAATTAATACGAAAGTGTTAACACACTGACTTCCCGGCGAATTTTGTATATCTTGCACATAGCGTCGGTATGGTTGTCACTTATTTCAGCACATTGTTACGTGCATATATCTTAATACCTGTCGCGAAAAACAAACAAAAATTCAGCATAAAATTTTCATTTCCTTTTCGTACTACGTATATAAAATTTCACGTTATTATCCTCATATTAAAAATATCACGAATTTCATGCGGGCATGATCATTTTCTTCGAATCACCAAAAAAAAAAAAAAAAAAATATTGCTATAATTTGCGAACGATTTTGATGACATCGGTGTCTACTTCCCAATGAAATAAAATCGATAGTTTCAGCGTTGAATTAAATGTAATCTTTGGCGGATAAATTTAAACTTTCAATCAATGGCGGATTATGGCAGTCAACGCCATCTGATCTAGCCCCTTTTCCGATTGTTTTTCGAGTAAAGCCATACAAGCGCGTATGAATCAGTGCAACATTATATATGCGGTTGCCTTTGTAACGAGGATATGAATCATGCGTAATCCGTTTAGAATAAACGCATGCACATCGTCAGTCTGCCGAGCTCTGGCGGCAGTCGAACGTCGACGATTTTTCAAATCGATCGAGCGCGTAATTACTCACGATATTGAGAGTATCGTGACCCGGTCACTTTTCACTCATGCTCCCCACGTATGCATGTTCACGCACGTGTAGCCTCTCCGTTTATTATTAAATATATGCCACGTTATGCGTATATTTCGCGTGCTTGTTAAACAGCTCGGATGGATGAGTCCGTTATTTGTTACATTTGTTACGAGCCGAGTCAAATATTATCCGCTGTGTTCTGTCATGGTTCGCGTTACCGGCATTCGGTTTATTTACATTCTGTCTCGCGTCGAAACGACACATCAAACCGTACATATGTCAAACAGACTGTGAAATTTATTGTCTTTCTTTATACGTACGTCGTGTCGTTGTTCCGGTTCGCACAGGAACAGGTACCTTTGTAGGCTGTTGCCCTTTCTTCAAACGAAATATATTCATCGTATTATACGAGCTGAATTTAACACTTTCACGTATATATATGTACTCGATTTTGGTTGCTTAAGGATATTAGAATAATCTGTTAACAATCGTATCAGAATATTTGAAATAAATAGATTTATACAGTTATGTTCTAAACAGTAATTATAGAAGAATACCCGTATATTTCAGTAGTTTAAACAAAAGTTTGAAATCAGTCGTATTGACGTCACTAATAAATAGTTAAATTAAAATAGTACAGTAATAAAATTGTACAATTGTCTATGAAACTTTTACGATGATAGTTTCAATGAATAATATTTCTTATAACTGTTTCTTTTTTCAAACATCTCGCCGGGGAAGTGTTGGATGTGTTAGAACTTTGGGAGTGCATAGAAAATCGATAAATTAAGAAAAAAAGATTCTTTAAAGGTTTGTTCGTTTTTTATTTAGAATCGCAGGAAAATTTTATTTCCTCAGTATGTTCGATGCTAAATCAACTGAAAAGAGCAACAGTGAGAGCAAACATCATTAGAACAATGTTTAGCTGCAATCAGTGTGGTCAACGTTCGATCTAATGCTTGCATAACAGTATCTTCATTAAGAAATAGATGATGTTATCAATTTTTTCTCTTCTTTTTTTCACGATTTTCTTCAAAATGGAGTGAATAACGAGCAAATCTCTAACAAGCTTTCCTTCTCAGTTTGTCAATTTATATTTTATATTATTAATATTTATTAATATTAATTATATTAATAATATTTAATATATATAATTTTTTTCTATAAATTTAATATTATTTTAGTTTATATTTGACTCAAGTTTATTATTAATTTTTTATATAATTATATGGTGAATGAATATTTTATACTTTAGTATTTTCTTTACCTTTATTATATTTATTATTTAATTTATTAAATTTATTTAACAGATTAAATTTTTATATTTTAGAAATATTGAATATTATAAATATTAATAATTTAAAATTTATTTGTATAATTTTATCTTTTTTTTAAATTAAAATTCCAATATATAATTCATGGATGACTATTAAAAGCTCATGTTGAAGCTTCATTTTTTAGTTCAATAATTTTAGCTTCAGTTATATTAAAATTAGGAAGATATGGTTTATTACGAATTATATTTATAATAGAATTTATATTTAATAAATTTTATATTAATTTAATAATAATTAATTTATATGGAATAACATTTTTAAGAATTATATGTTTATATCAATTAGATATAAAATTAATTATTGCTATTTCTTCAATTGTTCGTATAAGAATTATATTAATGAGAATATTATTAATAACAAAATTAAGATTACATAGAAGATATTATATAATAATTACACATGGATTTATATCTTCTGGATTATTTGATTCAGTTAATTTAATTTATAATCAAATTAACACGTGTTCTCGTAGTTTCTGGAACAGCCTGTCTAATACTGTTAATACAATTAAATCGTATACCCCCGCGATTATTCTCGAAGCGAAATATTCTTTCAATTATGATCCTTCTTTCCGCGAACTCTTTTAATTTCTTCGTTTCACGAGGATTTGCCTTCGACGCCAGCTTTCATAACGGAACCGATCGTTCGACCTTTAATTTCCTCTGATAAATGTCTTTAAAATTCTTCCCCGATACCGTTATGCCCATACCGGTGGAGAAGAATTTCAACTCTCTCCAGCGCCGGTGTCGCTGCACTCCACTGTCCCGTAGAAAAGGAAGACAGGTGACCGTGATCGCACGTGCTCGTCCTTCGAATACCAACCCGTTCGTTTCAATTGCATTTCGTTGTTTCCTCGTTTCTCCGTCTATGTACCTATTGTAGTGCAGACACAAGGTGCGTCGAACAACTGTGTACATATACACGAACAGCATTCACCGGTTTTTTTCGATCGGTGTCGGTGCCAAGTTACTCCCTTCTCCTTGTTGTTCCCCCCCGAGTTCACTTTTCACGGTTGATTTAACCGAGCTCGTGAAGCTCTTTATTCTCGCTGGCGCATCTACGGCTGACTGAGAGCTAATTTTTTTTATGCGATGGTTCAGCTGACTCGTTACTGTTTAACTTGAATTTAAACTGCGACCCCTCTCTGCGAGAATAGATAGAAATTATAATTTTGTGTACCGTGAAAGTGAAATACACACGGGACACGATAAGAACACTTTTTTTTTTTTTTTTAAGCAAAAGTAGCCACGTTTGTTTGATCATCTGAGGAAAACCTCGAGTAGAAACGTACGAGTTTCAAATCCGCGAAGAAAATTGATAAAATGATATACATACATTGTTCGTTGAAGTTCTTCTTAAAATTGAAACTCGAAGGAACGAACGCGTAGGAATGTATTACTATAGGTGTAGGCTTTTGTCGAAATGCGTAAAACAGTCATATGAGCTTTCACTAGCGAATTATCTATCGATCCGCTCAGCTGGAAGAATTTCTAAACTCAGTTTTCAAAACGTAGAATTTCGTCGACCCGAGTTGGTGAATTGAAATTTCAAAAAAAACAAATTTCGGAACAAACCTTCGAACACGGCTCGCGCTCGTTCTCTGTCGATCATAAATTTCCAATTTATGAGTCAGTCCGATTCCTCGCCATTTTCAATCTCGGCTTTCTGTTCGTTTCTGGCGATGGGAGCGCGTTGGCGAGCGCGGGCATTTAAGCCAGCAGGATACAATTATAACCGTTCATGCGAATGGTGCTTAGGAGCGAGATGAGAATCCCCTCGAAAACAATGACCTTGCTCAAGTACAAGGGAGATGGCGAAATTGCTCCCATCCGCCG